AATAATGATACGATCCTGAATCTCGGCATATCGAAGACTTGCAGCAACTTCTTCTCCGAAACCAGGTACGGAGTAGAAAGGAGCACCCCATTGTCAACCTCTTCCGGTGCCACGCCCTGGAGAGCCGCCAAAATCGCCCAAGCGTATGCCACGCCGTTGCTCGGCTGGTTCCGAAACTCCAGATAATCTTGGATGTTCCTCTGCTCCTCACCTTCTCGAACGGCGTCGGGGAGGCTCCTCGATTGGGTTTCGAAGTCGGAGGTGACGAATCTGCATGATGGAAAACAGAAGAGAAGTTGGAGTCAACTAGGAAAGCGCGTGACCAGTCCTCTTAGCTACGGTCATGATTGCAACATATTCTTTCCCAAAGATCTGAACGACGATTGATCAACGGATATGAACGGAACGAGAGACGGTTGCAGGTATTTGCATTGTTGTATTGACCACAATCAAAATCGGCCAGCACTTGGTTTCATAACGCTATTGTAGCAGTCGTACAGCTTGTTTTGAACGGGCCGACATAGGAGTCAATGTGCGTTCGGGCAGAGAACTCGCTCACCTCCGGTAGTTGAGAAACTTGTTCCTCAGAGATTCCGCCTGCTTCCCCGTCACATAGGTCTTTGCAAAGTCCTGATCCAGATTCGCGTACATGACCCCATACTCCGTGATAGCCCTCTCCCAGATATTGTAGTTCAGAACCTCGACGGGGCTCACATCCTTGCTTAATCTCCTCTGAATGTCTTCGAAGGTGTCGTAGGAGATCAGATGCTTTGACCGCCACTCCTCGACGGTCAACTCTTCTTCAGCCTCCATCTGCACATCCTCCGCCTCTGGTCGATGGTCAACCGATTTGAAACCGGTGAAGTCGGACACGGCTAACCCCTGTCGCCGCATATCCTCGACCAAAAGCTCAGGATACCGATGTCGACTCTCAGCCCTTCCGAGTATATTGTTGGCGTAGAGGTTGCAGGCTGGAGAGTTCCGATCGTAGATGGCCCGTTCGCCAGACTTTCCCCTGATCATGTCCAAGTGGTCAGTACTGCCCACCTCCTTCATCATGTCCGCCAAGCACTCATCGTCTGCTTCCAAACGTCGAAAAACCTCCTCCTTGTCCCCGGGGTAGACCACCTTTTGACTGCCTTTCAGCTCGCCATAGAAAACGCGAATGTCACCTGCATCTCGCGCTCGGTGGATTTGCTGCATCATAACCTGTGCATCAGGGTGGTTATCAGAGTTCACGGCCACCCCGATCACAAGATCGTAGCTCTGCTTCTTCTCAATCGAGACCCCAGGGCCAATCGTGGGCGTGAAGGTCAGCACGTCTGCTAGAAGGGCTTTGTCAGGGTGACGGATTGCATCTCGGAGCAGAGCCTTGTCTTTCCCACCCCTCTTGCCTCCATGGAACGCGATGATCGTCTTTGAGTTGTCTGGAAAACGTCTTGTGAAGTCGGCTTCCAGTAACTCAACAAAAGTCTTGCTCGTTGCAGGGACCTGCAGTCATTAAACCGATCGGCCAGTTAGAGTGAGGTTTGGCACAGCTTGAGGGCCGGAATCCGAGCTCACATCTACAAGCAGGACAGCATGTGCATCTGGGAAGCTTTTGCTGCCAGCTATGCGCGCGCTGCTGGGCAGGGAGGTTGAATGGGAGGAAAAGTCCGCTCAAGTATATGAAATGATCACCTTCAAGAACTTTTACTCCCACTCAGAGTGCAAAAGTATAGCCTTGGAACGGGGCCCTTACCATCACCTTCTTCCCGTCCGCCACGTGGTCCAGAATCTCTTCAATTATGCAGCTGAAAGTGGCTGCAGGCTGGCCCCTCCCCTTCAGGGGCCCCGGCATGGGCAGGATCTCCGCTTTGCGTTCTGTGGGCCAGACCCCAGTGTTGCGGATGTTGTGAAACTTACTGTCCGGCCGCAGCGCCTGAACCCACTCTACCACTCTCGGGTTGTTCAGATGGGCGTCGCAGAGGAAAGCTGCTTTGGCGCTCGCCACAATGCCCTCGAGAGCGAAGAAAACCTTCTTATTGTCCTTCATAACCGTGGATGCCATGTTAGTCAGCGTGAAGTTGACTTCGTCAAGAACCACCAGGTCGAATCGGGGCAGCACCCGGGGGAGGGGATTGACGCAGACGATGACTCGCTTTGACGTGATTCTCCCTGTCAGGTTTTCGTCTCGGTAGGACACGAAGCCAGGCTCCTGAGCTTTGGTATCCTCTAAGTATTTGTCAGCAAGCGCTATGTTCGGAGCGATGATGCAGATCGAAGCACTCGGGGGAATCTTTGGAAGGAGCTTCTGCAACAGCGCCTTTGATTTCCCGGCCCCCATGTTGGCCATCACCATCGTCGTGAGAGGTGTCGCGCCGGGGCTCAGATCGGGCACAGGGTATGCGCGCATCCGCCCAACCAGCTCGTACTCTTCCGTCCAGCTCTCGATGTGGTCCCCATCAAGAAGCAAAACGCGTTGGAGTCTCTGGCCATGGCTGCCGGTCCCACTGCAAACGATCAAGAACGGATGCTTCAATTGCGTGCGAACCTTTACCAAAAGCTTGGCCGCGTGCTCGGAATTGATCCAGGATCGTGCAACGAACTTAAGCATCTTTGCAAGTGTTTCACATTCTTCAGAAGTAGGGCGCGTGACAAATTCTGAATACATTCGAAGCAAGCACGCTTTGCTGCAATAATTGGTGACGAGCTGATCTGAGGGCGCGTGACAGCTTACCTGCAATCACCAGCGTGACAGCGGTACAGGGCCTTTGATGGGTGGGCCCTGTCGTAGACCAGATAACCACAAGAGTTGCCAGGGGACTGGTGGGCGCGCCCTGCAATCCAGCAGTACGGTTCCGGAACATCAAAGTGCACCGCAAAAATGGTGCCACCAAGATGCTCGGGAGCCCGAGCGATCGAAGCTCCAGGGTGATCCCTCTGGTACCTCTTCAGCAGCCGGTCGCATTCGACTTGGGTCAATGGGCTGACGGGTTGGGGCCTTTCGTCGGCATACTGCGCTCGGATTGCCACAGCAGTCCTCGGTTGGGGCCGTTGGCTTTCCCCGCGTGCGCGCGCGCCGCCAGCTGGCCGGGTGTATGCCACCAGCAGGTCGGTCGAACACGGTTTCAGCGCCGACGCTGTCGGGACCGTGCTGTAGATGCCCACCAGGTGGTCTTCCACCTTGTCCGAGCTGCCGACTGATGGCACGAGGGGGCGACCCGTTCCCAGCTTCTCGGAGTAGAGAGTGCGCCACAGCTGGCCCCGCCCGTACACAGCAAAGTCGAGGATGCAGTCCTCTTTGCCGTTCGCCTTTTGGTACCTGAGGAACTCGCAGCTGCGCCGCAGGTCCTCGGGAGGGTTTGCAGTGAACATTTGTAGGGCGTTTTTAAATGCTGCACGGGCTTTGCAGCCGGTGAGGTAGAACCCTGGGACGCACGCGTGCAAGCTGTGCTTGTACCCGTCTCCAGAAGCAGCCGGGCCGTGGGCCGTGGCTATTTGGAAAGCGATTGCTTCAGGGGGAATCTCGAGGACCTACTTGAGGAAGCGGCGCGCAACCTGGAAGAAGTGCCCTGAGCGCTCCTCAAAGTCGGCATCAGCCTGCGCCGGGACGGAGTAGTCCAGGTCGAAGTACATCAAGCAGGGGGTGTCTTGTTCGAGGCACTCGTTGAGGCACGGAGAGATTTCGCTGGCCCGCAAGCACTCCAGGTAGGCAACGAGAGCGTCCACGTCAGCAAAGCTGGTGTATTTCTTGGCCCCGCTGCCGGCGCTGATGTCACTGGCAACGATGAGCGCATGGTCGTTGTCAGACTGGTATGCGAGCGCCTCGGCCTTCTTGTAGAACCAGCCCTGGCCGAACGTGTCCTGCATGAGGAGACAGTCCGGTGTGAGGAGGTATGGCAGGGGGTCGGGAGTAAAAACTTCCTGAGTGGACTTATTCTTATACTTTAGGAGAGTTTTTGCTCCCTGTCTTGCAGCGCCCTTCAGGATTTGAGCGTTCTAGTCTCAAGGGTCGGGAGTAAAAACCCTTTGAGATAAGTCAATTGCTATACTTAGAAGGGCGTTTTCCTCCCTGTTCTGGTGATCCCGCATCTCTTGCCTGATCTATTCTTTAGGCCCATCATCAGAAATCCCTCCGGACTTCAAAGCAGCTTTGGAAAATCGGCGCTCCTGTCCAGCACTCCGTAGCTTGCAGGAACCTACTAGGCAGGCAAGTGAGCAAGCAAGCAGAGTCCAGAACTCCGGCTTCGAAGCTGCTCACCATTTGAGGCTTCGGATTGCTGGACCCCTCACCCCGGCGGTAGCCTGGCGGTCCTGGGCGGAATTCGGCATCAGTCCCGGGCTGCAACCAGTCGGGAAAACTGTTGTTATAACGCAAGAAGACATAGCCAAAACCGACCAGTCGACGTGCTCACTTGGAGCAAACACTGCCCCGTTCAAACCAGCTCGTCATCTAAGCAGACGTCACTACGAAAGCCTTACCAACTTGGGAGTAAAAATCCCCTAAGATGAGTCAATACATACATTCAGGAAACTTTTACTCCCGGGCTTTGATTCGCACAAGCACGTTTGCACTTGCGGAAACCTCTCAAGCGTTGCTTACGTCAAGTTCCTGTCCAGCCTCAACCTCGTTGGCACGCACCGGAAGCGGCATCGTTGCACTATCATCATCGCCCCCTGTCCGCTTCCTTTTCCGCCTTACATTAGTTTCCTGCATTCGAAGAATGTTGGAACTCAGTAAGTTTGTTCGTTGTCAGCTTTGACCAGATCGAAATCAAAGTATAAACCAAGTTGATTAGTCTCTGTGTTGGCCCGGCCAACTTTGTCAGTCGGGAACCCAGATCTGCATCCAAGCAATTGCAATCGGCTTCAAGGGCCTCTGTCTTTGAGTGGACAATCTCGTGACGTTGGACTCACAGAACCGGCCGCTACAAAAGACATCGGGAAACGAGAAACTTGTGTCCGTTTGGCAACCGCTAATGCTCTGCAAGTTGTGCAGTCTGAGGTCAGTTGTCACTCATGCACTCAGCTGCAACTGGCCACTCGGGCAGCTGGATGACCACCGTTTGCAGGTCGAGCTCACCTTGGACTGTGTGCGCTTCTCAGTGTACTTCGCTTCTAATTGGGCCAAGAAGTCTCCCTCCCTGCTTGCCGCAGCCTCCGTCCTGATGTCCAACTCGATGTCCATCTGTCTCAGCGCGTGAAGATCATCGGAAATTGGGGAGTCATCGATCACGCCTCGGATGTTTCTGGATGGCTGGGGGGCTCTCGGTCGAAACTCTTCCTCGCTGTTTTCCAGGTCAATCCCGTCGTCGAGCTCCGAATCCCCGTCGTCCTCCTTGCATGCAGAAAGCTGTGCTGTCAGCATATTCTACGGACAAAGTCATCTGAGATCAGCACGGATCCTGCATAGAGCTGCAAGACACCTTCACGTCCGACTCTCCGATTTAAAAGGCATTTTTTGCGGGGATCCAGTCTGCAACAGGTCTCAAGCGCCCTTCCCAAGACTGGATGCATCTCTTTGCAGCTGACAAAGAGCTCGAGCTCCCGCACTAAACGGTGTGACGGCTGAGGTCATGCGCTTTCAGATCCTTGAAGCTTGAAAACTAAGAGCAAGCCTACCAGATCCGCTTGCCAGGTTGTGAATAAGGTAATACAACTGTGAACTAAAGAGGCAAATCACCCTTTTAATTAACGAAGGGAAATAACGCACCTGCTCTTGCGAAAGCACGATTCGCCGGCGCGCTTCCTTCGGTGGAACATGATTGTACAGTTCCGTTTCTTCAACAAGATCGGCCAATACTCCGTTGTCAGCGTCGTTGAAAGGGCCGGCGGGCGCTTGTTCTCTTAGTACTCGCTGGCCCTTGATCAGGCGTCTAGTGGCAGCAGCCGGCGCCGCCTCAACTTCAGCTTGGAGTTCTGCGAATCCTTCCTGCAAGAAGGTAAGTGTGATTACTGTTCATCCAGTTGAACAGAGTGTTAGACGGAGATCATACGAGGACCTGCAGCCCCCAGGTCTGCATGATCCATGCCTTTGTGCCCGGCCTTGTCTAAACAAACATGGAGAAGCTCTATAACACCGTGTTACCTCTTTATGGAAGGGAGCTGAGCTTCTTACTGCCAAGAAGTCTCTGCTGTGGCCTGGCGTGTGGAGACTCTCCTGCGCTTTCTCGTTTGACCCGGACGTGGTTGTACAGCTTGGTGCTGCGGGTTCTGCTGTTGCAGCTGCCTGCGCTGCCCGCAGGTCCCGTTGAAAGTCTTCAAAGTCCTTACGGTTGTAAAGCCCCATGATTTACTTATTTCAATAGTAACACTCTTTACTGTACCACTGGCAGTATCATAAGAGGCCAGCAGTGGGGTTGCAGGTGGCTGTGCTTACTGTAGTATGGGCTTGCTGTATGGGCTGTATGGGTGTACAGCTATATTGGACAATGAACCAGCTCCATTTTGGAAGTGGTGCTAGTATTTACTGAGAGAGTCTGTGGCCACGGTGGTTGAGTGGGTCACTTGAGCTAGTAGCCTGGCCGGTATAAGGTGGCAGACCTCAGTGAGTATTCAGTGAAGCCCAACCAAGTGCATGATCTAGGCCAATCTAGGGTTACAAGACTGACTCGGACAAGAGTATAAGAGTAGTCAGCATCCACTTAGGAGCTTGAGGGTTACGTGCAGACAGTAGCAGCTTTGAGCCTCAGGCAGTGGCTGAGTACGGCGACTCCTACTGGCGCTCCTGAATCTTGAACTCGGAAAATGAAGTTGCAAAGTGAGATTTGGAGGTCTTTTATACTCCCGTCTCACGGTTCCCAGCAATAATTGGGAATTGCCGACAATTGCCGACAGTAATGACAATTCCCAGCAACTTAATGGGAAGTCACTGCACACGGGCTGCACACAGCAGAACAGCACAGGTTGCCACAGGAGGTTGTCGGTGCAGACGTGTCATCCGTGCATACAACGCAACGTCAGACACGACAAAAACCGTTGCAAGCGTACGTTACGGCTCCTTGAAAGCACAACCTGAGAAGATCCCTGAGTCTGACAGCTCCAACTCACGACAGAACATCCTGTACGGTCTCAACCTCCGATCAATCATTTGCCAGCTCAGAAACATGTGTCAGACGGCTCGCGACTTGAATGCTGAGCAAGGACTGGCCAGACCGGCATGATGCAAGGAGCATGCAGCTCATGCAGCTACAGTAGCAGTCGGTACCTAGACTTCTGATTACCGTACTGATCGACTCGGACCCGTAGTCTTGCTGGGCAGCCCAGCTGACTCAGGACTCCGAATCATCGAGAAGTCGTACGTACAAGTCGTAAAGGAAGGAGGCAATCAGAAATGCACCGTCGGATGATCGGTAGTGCCTAGAAACCGTCCGATGTAATAACCGTCAGCCCCGTGTACATAGCGTATTGGCACGGTCACGTGCAGGCTCGGGGATACTTGCCGTGGGTGTCAGTCGGTAAATTTCGTGTAAGCCAGAGCCTGAGGACGAGAACCGGCAGCTACCGGCTCAACAGTGATCCCTTAAGTCGAGTAGCCCCGGGCCCACCAGTGCACTGAGGACAATAAATTGGCCGATCTGTTCATTCTGAAAAATGATAAGGGAACAGCAGAGAAGCAGATCAGCCTGAGATACACCTAAACTTGCTTTCTCCAACCTACAGGATCCTTGCCGCTCCTTCATCATAGCCTGTTGACCCATTTCATGGCGCCCCCACAATCAGCCGTTTGCAGCCGTCCTTGTTCTTGCCAGGCAGGTTTCGAGTACTGCTCCCCTGCGGCAAAAAAACAACAATTAGGAGCCCAGATCGTAAAGGCGGGCCCGCCATGTCTTTGTTCAGGAAGCTATGGGAAGCGATGCGCTGTGGGCAGGCGTGAGTTGGGAATTGGCATTTTTCAGAAGAACGCACCTGAATTTCCCCCAGGCTTCCTCGTCGACGTCAAAGTCGAACAATCGTCAGGGGCCTCAAAAAGGATGAGGATAGAACATTGACAGAAGAAGAAATACTGGATTTAGAAGTTGCGGAAGTTCTGAACGACAGAAGCACTGACATTTACGTGTTTATAGGCTTCCTTGCTACGCTTTTGACCGCTCCCCTTGTATATGGTAACTTGCTTGGGTTGACGGAGAGGCCACTGGCACCCTCTCCAACTGTGGAGTGTACCTGCGTCTGCCCTTCTGTTGCGAAGACCCTCTGAGCTAGCAAATCTGCCATCTTTTCAGGACCCCTGTCCTAGAACGCGCCTGAGGCCATGTTTCAAGTTTGGGCCCCTACTCATATAACAGGGTGCTGTATCACATCTCCAACCTAGCTAAGGTAGACAAGGAACAAGGTATTGACCTGGTTGTAACTTTCTTACTCTTTAGGCTTGCTCTGCAAGAGAGATCATTATAGGTGATGCTTTCCAGGATGTAAGGGCACCTTGCTTATCCTCGAACCAACTTAGATTTTGAAGCCTTCTATAATGAGACCGACTAACTAGAGACTGCGCAGAAGGTGTATCGTAGGCCACTGCCCCTGCCCCTGCCCTTTGTTGGACCATTGGGCACGTCATATTGCCAGCTCCTTGGCGGCATGGGTGGATGGCCCAGCCAGCTCTCAACGATCTCCACGCTTGCGCTCATAATTTGCTTCATATGTACTAGGTATGCACACGATACATGTTCAAGTTGTGTGCCACATCGTCAGTACTTTTTCCTAGCTCTAGGAAAAGAGAGCGCTGAGAGATTTCCTGAGCTCTATATCAAGCATGGGTTAGTCGAAGTTTCCAACGAACGCCGCGGCATGATGCGCATCATGTATGCATGATATCGGCGAATGCAACGTACCCTCCTTCGTCTTTCCACTGTATCATGTCTCTACTCAAAACTGTTTTCAATAGAAAGGCCCCATGCATACTAGTCACACGTTTACGGACGCAGGGCCGATATTTCAATTGGCTTCGGTTGAATGGGGGTTTTAAAAGGTATAGGATTATAGTTTCCACCGCTAGACTCTGATTCATATGATCCGGCAGGGTCGACAAACTTTGAGATGGTTCCAACAGATCATCAGATCACTGAGTATGACATGTGTCACAGATCAATATCACGCGTGCATGTGTCGCAGATCGATCATCGGATTGCAGTGGCACATGTGAGAAGACTGTGAAAACCGCATGAGGCTATACTGTGTCAGTCGATGCCGTTCACCATATTTCCACGTTTACACTGTGGTGCCCACAATAAGCCCAAACGCCCACAACGGTCATTGTTGAGGCAACCCATTCAAGTTGGGATGCGATTGCTTTTAGCCGTTTCCTCAGTAATGACAGCTTGCAGATTTGAAGCTGTAAGTGATCGGATCCAAAAACAAAGTTGTTATATATTGTTGTCAAAGTTCTTACCATTAACATGGCCAAGGAACTCAAAGCCATGCCTCCGAAACAAACCTGTAGAGAAACTTGCTTCCACAGCCTTCTTTGCATAGACGACCAAAAGCTTCTTGGCACGATTTACTGGCAGCATCAAACACATCAAAGCCTTGACTCGACATCATGGCATCGAGCTGCTCATCCGGGTTCACGCGCCGTTTGAAAACGGGCAGCAAAAGTGCCGATCTCCCCTAGTCCGTCTCTATTTACATATTGTTCTCAAGCGTCGTTCTGGCCTGGCTAAATTGTCTTCAGGCGTCGTTCAGGCCTCCTTTAAACAGCGACATGTCTAGTTGACCTGCACGTCAGACAAACAAGAAGCGTTCGCAGATTGATAAGCCAACAGAAATGGTTCATACATTAACTTTTATCCTCTACTCATAGACAAGAAGTTTCGATGAAGCCAACCCGGAGCTCGTTCCCCACTGTGTGCCAGGACTTGAGTCGCCCGCAAACTTGGTGACGAAGATCCATTTCGCTTTCCATTGCCCTGAAATACTACCTGGAAACAAAGCCGATGGCTGAAAGCGGTTCTCTTTATGGACACTTCCTCCGCCAAAATTTATTGGGGCGTCGCTCAAACGGAATCATCAATGCTCTGAGCGAAAAGGAAAAGCAATCCTTAACTGCCGCAGCTGTTGCAAACATCAGACTAAGAGACAAAGAATCAGGACACGCTCACTCTAGCTCCCGGCACTGCCCAGAGTTCTGAAATCATCGAAGTGGAAGTTGACAAAATCGAAAGTCTGGAAGGACGACAGCTAAGTCACAGAAAGGTAAACTAGTTGGTAAGCCACCAGCAAAGCTCCAAATGCTTCCCTCGTACTGAGGCTTTGGAACCTCTCAGAGCTGGGTTGCTCAGAACACTTTCATGGGTCCCTCCCCAAAACATCGGTAATGTCAACCCATCTGATGGTTCAACAGCCTTGGTCCTTGCGTTGCTGCATTTGTCCAGCTGGCATTCAAGTGCCACTTACCACCAGTCATGCTGAGATGATTGCAGAATGAAGTCTGAGGTAGTTCACGACGTGAGGTACATTTGTAGGCTTTTTATTGAATGGTACTGCCAGCACTCAGTTACAAAAGCTACTGCTAACAGATTCACCACGCTCAGAATGAAGATTCATCATGCTCAGAGGCTGCTTAACAAGCCTCATTCTAAGTGCAGGACAGAGTCCGACTCTAGCCTTGCATGTCTCCAGCCCTGAATATAAGAGAGTCACCAGCCAGATTGTCCAAGGAGAGAGATAGGAACATCCTGAAGAAATCAGCAGCTTCTCATTAGGAGGACAGAAAGCTGAAGAAGCTGGCAGCTCAACGGTTTAACCGCAGCTGAACTGCTTAACAGCTTGACAGCACCTTAACAGCTCATTTGCTCAATGGCTCTATCAGCAATTGAAACCAAAACCACAGATGCATTCGCTAGAATTCCAACCAAGCTGAAACAGACCATACGTGGTCAGAGCTCTTACATCACATTACCAGCCAAATTTGAACTCACCTTTTCTCTCGCCCACTAGCAAGGGCACGGCACCGCATCCCAGTCCACTTGATTGGCCCTGTTCCGTCCATACACCAGCTGGTCCGCTTTCTTCCCGGGCACCATCATTCGCCAGAACCGCCGGAACGCGTCCCTGCCCATTCTGTCGCGGGGAACCGAACCAGGCATTCCCGTCACACCAAACATGTCCAGCAAGTGGCTCATGAACTCATGGATCACGTCAAGTTGCGCCGATAGCAACGGCTGCTTATCGCTCCGTGCGATCGTCACGGGGCCTACATTGCCTTGCCAGGCGGGAGGCGCGAACCCAGTGTGCGGATCGATCATGAGCCAGGTTGCGGGCTGGTTGTCGAGCTTTTGGTCACGCGGGGAAGAAAGTGGGTCCCTTCGGATGTGCCTCCAAATAATCAAAGGCACCCAAACAGATGCGGGACTGGACAGATCACACCTTCCGTCCAAATGGGGTCGTCTTCGTCGATTTGTACCTCAGTCCATGGCCCATCTAGCTTCGCCCCTTTGATCATAACTCGGCTGTGGGGTATACCCTGGGAAATGGACATTTGTTTCAGGAGCTGGCGAAATGCACGACGGCCTGTGTTGCTTCCAGGCTTCCGCCTGGTGCGCCCGAGTGCAGTAGAGAGTGGCTTGGCACCGGCCACACCGATTCTTTGTCTCGCATCCACAGACATCACAAGCAGGCATGGCGCTGATTGCAGGAAAAGGGCTCTGAGCTCTGTTGAGAGGCTTCTGAAGCGCCAACGTGAAATGCATCACAAAACTTGCCTGAGGCATCATGAGGTTTAGTAGGTACTCTCAGTTTAGTAGGTACTCTGCTCTGGGAAGTGAAGTTTGCTCAGGCTTCAGAAGGAAGGGATCACCATGGCGCCGGGGAATTGGCGGTTTTTTGCCACTTCAGCGGTAACACCCCCTCTCAACCTGTTTGCGAAACGGGACGGGAGTCGTTACCGCTGACGTTCTAAAGCATTCTGCTTTTCTGTGGTAACACCGTGAAGCATGCGAGCACTCTTCTCACATCCCTCCTTCCACAGGCAGTTCCATGGTCTCTCTTCATCAAAGTTCGAACTGGGCCGCGCATCTGACAGGATTGTTCCCAGGCGGAGCTTCAAACATGGGTCTTCCCGCTGCAGTGGAGAAGAAAGTGCATCGGCAAGCAGCCATCGCAATTGGGAAGCTGCTAGAAGCGGATGAGAAGAAGCAGGGAGGCGCGAGCATCAAAACGCTGACGCTTGCACCGGGGGTGGTTGCCAAGAAGGCCACGTACGCACTGACGTGTGAAACCTTGAGATGTGAGTACACATTTTCTTCAATCAGCAACGTTCCTGAGACTCTTCAATTAGCCTTCAGCGACATTAATGTAATGCAGGTATTCGGACTGCAGGGCTTCTTATGAGGAAGAAAGGGAGAGAGTACTTGTGATGTTACAAGCTGATTGCCAGCTCTTTGTCCCTTGAACAGCCTACTACTATGGAGTGGTGGGGTTTGATGCTCAGGCCTTTATTTGTTAAGCACAAGAAAATTGCAGTGCTTTGGGGCTCCAACGAAGCATTTCGTGAGTCTGCAGGAATAGGAGCGCCATGAGTTGTTATGGTTGCGCACCACCGTGGCCAGAGCCAGTGTCCTGCCCAAACCAGCCGCAGGCTTGCTAAGGCAAACACCGCCGACCACTTTGACAAACTCATCAACCCAGCTAAATCAATTCTTGTGCGCGCCCCAAAGACAGCACAGAGCATGGCAACATGCTGTGGATCAAGCCCAGTATTGTGTTGCGCTGCAGACTGCAGTTGATTGGACATTTCAACTGACACGTAAACAATGTCGCGCAGATCTGCCTGTCCTGAAACCGGTCCTGGAGTCCACATCGCAGCTGCGGTTCTCTCAGCATGTGAGTAAAGTGCAGCTAGACTCTTTGTTCCATATCTGGCCTACTTCGTTTGCAGGCTTAGCATCTTAGAGTACTCACCACGGAATCTCTCATCATCTCCTCTTGCAATTTTCTTAACTGCTCTTGAGGTGCCTGTTACATTCTAGTAGCAACAGTTTTACTGAAAGGGAATAAGTTTTGTTTGCCTCTTATCTTGCAGCTTCGTCCAGAGCTGGCATATGTCCTCGTGTACGACCTTCTTTTTGGTCAGGTGAGTCCACCGTCCCATTTTTTGCCACCCTGGTAACTGAAAGGAGGTCGCTTCAATACCTGTCTCCTCTTTTCTTTTGACGTGATAAAAGACCTGCTGTTGCTAGAACCTCCAGCAGAGCTTGAAATTGCCATACGTGTTCGAATGTAAGAAGGGCACTCAGCCTTAACTTTCTTGTAAGAGAGACGACTTTTGATTAACTTAGGACTTGTGCCAAGAGTGCAAGGACACGGCTAAGCATTTTTACTAGTTTCAGGAGCCCCTCGGAGTTGCCCCGCTCAGCTCTCTCTACGAGAAGCTGGTTGTTCCTCTTTGCTCCCTTGTCTATCCTCCTCTGTTTCCCTCCTCGAGAATTATGAGCGTCAACTGTGCAGGCTTCATCAGTGCGTGCTTGCAACAAGCGACTCCCGTTACTCCTCCTTATCCCTCTATTCGTCCCGTTGCTTCCTCCAATTCACTGAAGGCCTTTTTGTGACAGACGACCGGAATATCTGCTTGTCGGATATCTCAATTTTCTTCATTTTTGTCACATGTGCAGGGGTTGTCAGGATGCGCTCCCCACGAGAAAGTCGTGCTCGCGTGCAAGAGCGCGCTCCGGGCGTCGCTGGCACGATTGTTGGTGAAGCACGGCGTGTCCTCTGCTGCCGAGTTGTTGCCTGCGGAATCCCAGAGAGCAGGTACGGCTGTCTTGTTTTAAATGTCGAAGCTTCTTTAAGCAATGGATTTCTTCGTCCGTACCTCACAGAACGGGAAGGAAGGAGAACAGGGCCTCCCGGACTCGTCAAGGGACCCCCTCCCATATTAACCCGTCCAATCGACGGTCAGAATGAGTGATTCGGATCGACTCAGACCGTCCATCTTAGGGGTTTATACCTGGGAGGGGTCTCTTACCATGTCTCGGGAGTCCATGTTCTTCTTCCTTCCGTTCTGACAAATGAAGGAATCTTCCGAGGCTCATTATTAGTGGGTACTATAGTTGACCCAGACGCAGCAGCTTGATAATGGATTGGGCACTTCTCGAGTAGGTCACGTTCGGAACCCCGACGCTTCTGGTCTCGAGCTGCCTTTCAATACCCACCAGAAGGCTTGGTTAGCCGTTGAAAGCCTAAACAAGCCAGGAACTAAATCTCAGGCGGTCCGTCGATTGAGGGCGTCTTATCCTCCAAATAACCATGAAATCAAATTGAAACCCTTCGATCCAGAAGATCGACGGCGTAGAGCATAGAACATGGCTTTGAAAGGACGGTTGCAGCTCGTCGAGCCAGCAGCCCTTGCTTTCCGTCCTTGTCTTCACTTCGGCCGTTTGTGTGATTGAATGCATACCCCGACATAAGCGGGAAACTAGTTACGTGGGCCGCATCAAACCACTTGGTTTGGCTGCTCGTGCAGGCAGGAGAAGCGAGAAGATTCTTGACCCGTAATCCCACCAAGGATGATTCGTCCATGGTCTTCAGTTTGCAGGCTGCTCGCCAAGTGGTGGAATTCCGCTCGCATTCATCAGACGATTCAAACCTGTGCGGCACAACAGGCTCAAGAAGAGGGCACCCTTTCCGCTTTCTCGCTGGGGTGAATATATTGGATTCTCTCTCGTGCAGCCTCGACGCAGCCCGCTACGGCCGTGTTAACACTCTCAAGACCACCTTTGGGGGACGCTCTACGTCTGTTTCGCAGAAGTTTTCACTTTCATTCGGCAGCCAAGCCCCCCTCTGCGGTCCCGCTGATGTGAATACGTTCGTTTCTCTCTTGTGCAGCCTCGACGCAGCCCCGCTACGCCCGCATTAACCCTCTCAAGACCACTCTGGAGGACGCCCTCCGTCTACTACGATCTTCCGGGGGGGCGGCCAAGTCTGCTCCGTCAGTCGAGCAGGACCCCCTCATTCCGAACCTGCTCGTCTTCCCCCCCGGAACAGATTTGCACGACCATGCCATGGTGAAGGACGGCCGGCTCATTTTGCAGGTGAGAAGTTTACTTGGACAGGAAAGTTGAGAGGAGGTTGAAAGGAGGTTAGAAGGAGGTCAAGAGCGGAGGGCTCGATTTCAGTCCAGGTTTTGCGAGAGTTGAGGGAGGTTTACTTAGGCTAGCTTCCTCGTATTCATATGCCGGAACCCTGAAAGGCGTAGAGTTGACTGTTTGACAGTGTTCTGCAGGGAATTCTAGCTGCAAGCCAACTCAGGCGTCAATCTTGTATATTTACAACCATCCCCTGCGCGGCTGAATCTGGCTTTTTCACCTCAGTCACAGATGACGACGTTCATTTTTTCTGGAAGCAACATTGAATCCCAGCCGCTACCTCAATCCCGCACGGAAAGACTAGTTGAATGCCAGCGCATGCTTGCACCCGATCCCTCCTGGACCATCATCGTTGCTTGCGCGGCTGTTTGCTTTTACCTGTAGTTAGAGTCCCCTGCTTTGTTGAAAGTAAAAGGATTTGAGCCTTTCGTTTTGCCCCGTAAGGAAAGGCCACTTGCATGCCGGCGCAGGCTTGGATATCAATCCCTCCTCAACCGTCAGCGACGGCGGCGCGGGTGCTTCGGCTATGCACCTTGGTCACCATAACCAAGCTTCCCGTTAGCTAACAAACCATCCTCTTGATATCGTTGCCGTTACCAAAATCAATTTTCGAAACAATGTATATCCCTACCGCTCATCTCTTCACTGCAGAAAAAAGCCAGTCAGATGCCTCGATCCCTCCTGGGCCATCATTGAGCGTGCACAGCTGCTTGGGTTTTGTACCGTATTCACACGGTACGGACATGCTTTTATGAAACCACAAACATATTGAAACGTGCATCCGTTCACTGCAGGGAAAGGCCAGTTGCATGCCGGCGCAGGCCTTGCACCCCGATCCTTCTTGGACGGTCATCGACGCCTGTGCGGCACCCGGCAACAAGACAATACACCTGGCAGCGCTGATGGGGAACAAGGGCAAGATCATCGCCTGCGATGCGGATGCTAGAAGGCTGGAGACGCTGAAGAAGACCGTCAAGAAAGCTGGGGCTAAAAGTAGGTGCTACTTCGAAGTCACGTCTAGAACTTGTCCTTCTGTGCAAAAGTTTTGCGACCCGGCTCAACTGTTAGCACTTCATTGAGACACGAAGGCATCGCATGCGATGCGGGTGCAAGAAGGCTAGAGACGCTGAATGAGGCCGTAAAAAAAGGGAGCCAAAACTATATCACGGCTCTTGTATGTCGGGTTATGTTTCAGTTTGGACTAGATTCGGTTTGCGGGTCATTTCGTGCAATGCGGTCACGAGGAGGCTGGAGACGTGAAGGAAGACGGGAAATGTTTTTCGGTCAGCAAATACGAGTTGCTTCATAGTTGCGCAATGCTTTTACATATGCACCTCACCCTGGATTTTTGTCGACGGGTAAAAGGCCTTGTTAGCGGCTGCAAACCATCCTGGCGTCCTCGTCTTTGTTAAATTCCCTCTCCGCTGCTAACTGCCCTCGCATTCTGCTTTCAGACATCGACGCTCGGCACCAGGACTTTCTCAAGCTCGACCCCGAAGCGCCAGAACATTTGAAGGTAAGACACGAGTTTGAGTCACACAATGTTTGCGTCCACTCGCCCGAAACACTTTTGGGGTGCACGTCCAAGTTCGAGTTGGCTTTTCTTGAAGGACACTTATCGACCACATGATTCCATCTGTAGGTCAAGTTTGCACGACAGCGCCACCGGAACGGGTGATGGTGTAAGGAACGGCTCATGATTGCATGAAACGAGACTATATGCACGCCAAAGCATCGGAAGTCGTTACTTTGACGATGCGACAACAAGGGAGCGGGGATCTTCGAAGGGAGCTTCCAGAACATCATAAAGGAGATTCAGGGCATCGTAATCATCAAGGCACTCCCCGGCGGCAGCCAGATACTCTCTGTTTTACGTTGTAATTCACCATTCATTCTCGACTTCCGTCAACCCGTGATCGCCAATCTGCTTAACGGAGCAGTTGAAATTGGTTTCCGTGCCTCACCTTCGTAGCCAAGTCAGCCAGGATTCCACACCAAGAGTCTTAACAATCTCAGAGTCGTCCTTAGAGACTTGGTTGAGGTTCTTATTAAGACTGCGTTCAAATCCTTGCCGAAGCCCTAATAATTCATCATACCAAGCCCTTTCCCAGAATCCTCACCGACCGAGACTTCCATTTACAGTTTCCAACACCTTAACCACGACTCTCACCCGAAGTTTTTCGAACCCCTCCCTCTTAGGTGCGCGCAATCCTGCTGGATCCGTCCTGTTCCGGTTCCGGCACCCGCCTCCAGCGGATGGACCACCTGCTACCATCCAGCACGGAACGAACGCTCGGGGAGAGTGACCCGGGCACCCCATACGAGCCAGCTAGTGAGCCTTTCTCGAAGTGATTTCAAAGTTTTTTAGCTTGTCTCGTTTCATTTTACTCTGCGATGCAGAAAGAGGGACCTCTTTGTTGAGGTACGCTGAGCCTAAGTGCTATTCTTCCCATGCTTTTTGCAAACAGTAATGTCGTCGAAATTCTCTCGTTGCTGGGTAACAACGTCCTATTCCAACATTTGGGGGTCGTCTCTATTTTGTTTGTGACGGCCTTTCAAATGCATGTTGATATTCTTCGCGGGTTTTGGAACTTGTCAACCTGCACAACTGCTCCTCTCTGCTCGCGTTCTGCTCATTATACAGATTCCTTCGAAAGGTTCTGACGATTTTCACTTTGTTTCCGTTCACCAACTTTGATAACAAGTGTGGAACGACACGTGTGCTGTCTCGGTCCCCGTGCTATGTTACATACGCCGAGCGCTTGCGGCGCGTCCCCTTGGAAAGCTTGCGACCTCTTCCGAGGTCAGTTCCACTTCTGGGCTTGAAAAGCGTTACTGCTGTCTCTTACAGAGACTTTGAGACCCTCTGACGCACTTGTCTTGAAACGCGCAGCTCCGGCGGACCGAGAGCGGGTCGAAAAGCTTGCCAGCTTCCAGGAAGCTGCGGTAAGGCACGCGTTGCGATGTGAGTGTTTTCCCGGAACGCTGGTTTTTCGTCGGTGTTACAAGACGAGATGCGGAAAAGCTGTCAGATCTTGAGTGTAGACAGGTTTCTGTATTGTTGAAAGGAGCGGACTGTATGATTGACAACAAACGAGGGCACCAAAGTTTTTTTCATTAGGGCATTGGACGTGCATCACCGTCAGCAAGAAGGGGCCTCTACGGCGGCGCCTCATTCTAATGCTTGCGGTTGGAGATCTTGCAGATAGAATATCAAGTTGGGAAGCTAGAGAAGTGCAGCTGACTGTCGCAATTCTCTATGTCAAATTGTACACTGAATCTCAATGCTCAGACTCCGATGCGCATTCTTGAGCCGGGCAATCTCTCCAACGGACAAGAATCGGACGGCTGAAGTCTATGAATTGTGCTGTACGATTTAAAAGGTTTGTACTGTCTCGGATGCAAACGGTGGAAATCGGCGATTGCATCTCAGCCATGACTTCTCACACCTCGTCCTTGTTCCTTGGAAAGTGGAACAGAAGTCAGGCACTGTGCAAGTGAATAAGCATAGGCAAGCAACGTAGAATCGAAACGACGCATCTTCAGAGAAATTTGGTCGGAACGACCAGAACGGGACAAACATTTCTCAGTAACGCATCTATGTAAGAGTCTGATCCAATTCAGAGGGCAAGGCATGTATACGAATGCTTCCTAGCTTCCGTTAGGTAAGCTAACAGAACGCAGAAAAGAACGAAATACGGGGACGAAAGAAACAGTAAGCGCCGTATTTCTGACTTCGGAGCAGTTTCGGGCCTACAGCGGCTGGTGTACAGCAAGTGACTCAGATTCTCGAGATTCAGGGCGTTCTGGGGGACCCCTTTAGGGAGGACTCTGATTACATTCAGAGGCGGTTTGCAAGAGGGAATAGTTCACAATCATGAGGACTGGAAGAAGGACCATCTTCCGGACGGATTCCTTTGACGAACCAAACAGTTATGATTGTTTGGTTGCATTCATAGCTAAGCAAAATGATATTTCTTTCCTCAGATTCAACAAAAAGTCCACTCAATTTACGATCAAGGGAAAGAAAGAAATAGAATAAAATCTAAAACAAAGTTGAATAAAATTCTTCTGTGCAGTTCCGGGCCTACAGCGGCTGGTGTACAGCACGTGCTCGGTGCACCGGCGCGAGAACGAGGACGTCGTTTCGGCAGTCCTTCCGACCGCCCGGGAAAAGGGCTTCCGACTCGCGCCCGCGTTTCCCGGGTGGCCGCACCGGGGGCTGCCCGTCGTCGAAGGAGGTGGGCTTCTTGTTCGGTTTTGTTTTCCCTTACTAACATTCTTGCCTGTTCGTTATTATCGTGTAGAACAGAACGTTTGGATTGGCCCAGCGACCGACGAGGGGGATGCTTCCCAGCAACGTGTTCTTTAAATCTGACTTTCATAGGAGGAGATTAGTGGATGGTTAGTGGGGGTTGGGAATGCGTTGAAAAGTGGAAGTACAGTTACTTCCGAGGCTTGAGGGCATTCCAACATTTTCGACTCGACTTCATGATTGGACTCATGGACCAGGTATTTTTAGGACCTGGGATCGGTTATGTCTCTTCAATTTAGCAATAGTAAGCTTTAGCATTAGTAAGCTCCTGCACTAACATTCAAAAACCCAACCCACTGAAACACCCGCTCCGCACCCGAACCCACCCTAACCCCCAAACTAGTCCTACCCGTGCCAGGCTGCTAACCTTCCTATTGCTAAAGCTTACTATTGCTGAATTGAAGATTCTTGGATCGGTTCCTCATGGAGGCTGATGTCATCTTGCAAGGCTGCCGCCCGTGCGGTTCTGCAGTGCCGTTGCAGTTGGTTGATTTCAAAAACTTGAGAGGATCTCTTTCTTGACTTCCGTGGCTTGTTGCACCCTGAACGACGTTGGCAAAACGCGTTTGCCTTTTGTCCCCGCCCCGTGTGTTTAGCAACCCTGTTTTAAGTCCAGGCTTGCTACTACGACGGACCGACTAAAGGAGCAACGTGCCGGATTTTTGTGACTCGCCAACTCTGAGCGCAATTCTGTAAATCCGCTTGTTCAGATCCGGACTGACCGAACGCTTTGCTGCGCGCGTGCAGCCCAGCACCTGGTGCGGACGGACGCGGCACGTGACCAAACGGACGGTTTCTTCGTGGCTCTGTTCGAACGGGGTTCAGGCAAAAAGTCCGCTGCTCGAGGTAAAGCCGATGCTTCATCGGACATTTCGCGCAAAAGAGTTCCGCCAACGGAAAAGGACGGAAGGGGCGTGCCAGCGGTGAACTTGGAGGGGAGGAAGGAGGATGTCGAATTGGAGAGAGAGGCTGCTGACGTGGCGGAGAGCGTAGAAAGAGATGACGGTTTGGCGGAACCGGATTTCGCTCGAAGAGCGGGGAAAAGGAAGCGTAAACAAGCAGACAACAAGGCGACGGGATCGAAACGAGACAAGCAGTCCAGGAATGGACGAGGGGTTGAACCGGAAGGAGCACTAGGCGAATCCGTCAAGTCGGCACGTGGTAAACTGGCCACTGATGCAGGAAAGACAGCCGAAGGGACGGAGGACACGCGAAGTGGGAATGGTGACCATTCTAATCAGTCTGCTTCCAATGATGATTTAGAAGCCGAGCCATGTGGGACGGCTCGTGAGTCACTTTTGCGGCGGAGGAAAGCTAAGCGAGAGCGGAAGAAGGCGCAGCAAAGAACGTCACAAGCAGGAGAAGCAAGTTGACAGAAGTCAGGAGAGAGGCTATGTTCCTAAGCTTTTCCTCAGTCGTTTCCCTGGTGTCTTCGGTTTGATGTCACATAGGGTGGATTTGTGCACTTAAAGCCAATGATCCGGGACGTTCAAGCCAATCTACCAAGCGGCCAGGTCATGTGCAATGGCTGCGCAATTTGAGAAGGTTTTGCAGTCACGCTTATGTACCAATCGGGGCCCCGTCCAAGATATGAGTCACAAACACCGCAACACACTTTCAAAGCTCACGTCCGGCACGAGTCTCTTGAGGCCGTGTATCTCAACTGAAGCTTTTTCCACGTTTGTAGATCCGGCTAGCAAGGGCCAGGGCTCGAACCCATTCAGCCATATGGGCATCAATCATGCATTAAGTAGATTTGAACGCCGCACATGTGTGAAATGATCGGTGCACGGCGCATATGTAAGTGCTTTGCACAATTTACCGATGGTAAATTGCACATCATTCGAAAGGTGGCCCGGGACCGGACGAGCGGGCCTCATTGCGGTGCCTGGCAGCGCTGCGACCTCCATATATGCATGCATTGAGATGCACTGATGACCGGACTGCCGGGAGACCTCAGACGTTCAAGTTGAACCGTCCGGGGCCGGACGGTGGCGCTCAGCACAAGCGCCCGCGGCCGCGGCTGCAACGTGCCGGCCGCGAACCGCGCGAGCAAAACCCAGCAAGCCTGAATATTGCCTCTGGGGAAGCAAATCTGGTTAAACCCGTGCACGGGTGATGGTGTCAAAGTACGTGAAGTCATGAATTAAGACGTGCCCTCTTATATAGGCGTGGATCGTTGACAGGGATGCCGCTTTCTCCTTCACGTGAATACATAGATGTTGACGCCAGAGGTTTTTAACCTTCGGTTTTCGTCATAACCAGATCAGGTTAACTAACGCCATATAGTTGCCAGGCAGTCTGACTCTGAGCAGAGTTGAAGGTGAACTTAGGTAAAGACTGAAGTAGAGTTGGCAAGCGTCGCTTTTGTGAGCAGGTAGCATGGCCGATCCTGCCCCCTGGTCCAACGAGATCTCTGCGAGGGAGTGGATTGACAGAGGCGGGGCGCAGGTCGTACTTGGGGTTGACGGCGGAGGCACCAATACTTCGTGTGTCGTGATGGAATGTGCAGAGCCAAAAAGCGGGTCAGATTCTGTCGCTTGTGGGAATGTGCTGGGAGGGGGATCAGCTGGGAGCTCAAATTACCACAGCGTTGGGGGTGAGTCGTCATTGACCTCGGTGTCAGGGTTTGAGCAGAAATTGATGAGCTGGAGGGAGCTGAAAGAGCCCTGCAGAACGGTGTTTTACCAGCTGGAGGTCGTTATAGATTGGGTTTTTTTCCCCGGCAATCAAGCATGTTTGCAGGGCACATTGAGGAAGATCTGGTGTTCAATTGAAGAAGCTGGCATGCCTGCTTGGGAGGTGACTCCCAGGCGCTCTCTTAAACACAAGCATGGGGGGCCCTGGGGAATTGACGGTTTGCCTAACTCTGTTGGACAGAGACTTGTCCTTTAAAGATGGTGCACTAAAACATCGTCAGCAATTAGGAGGAACTATACAAATCGTTATTCTGACCGTCTGCAGGCTCAAACAGCGTACATAACTCTGTTTTGAAAAGGTAAACCAAAGCTGGCAGGATAGAATCTGAACGGATTGCTGAGAGTGGTCGCCTATTTCTTGAAATGACAGCTTTTTGGCCATCTTACCAGGACATTGAAAGGATGAGACAATGTATCCTCAATATGAAAAAGCATACGTGCAGTCCCTTTCAAGGAGCATTCTGGTGGAACACTAATAGAGCGACATGTCCATATTTAAAAACCAGATGGTGCAACAACCGAAGTTGTTCACGGAAGGTCGCCACATTGGTTTGCAGAGGAGACGGCTCACAGGGCAATCGAGGCGGCAATTGCAAAGGCGCTCTCCGCAGCTCGAGTCCCAAGGGCAGCCGTGCAACGAGTCTGCATGGGGATGTCAGGAGTGGACAGGCCATCTGACATCGAGCTCGTCTTAGGATGGATAAGGTGTGTCCTGATCAGCTGAACTTATCCTCTTACGTCATGGTTGCAAAAGTTCGTGTTGTTTGTAGTGGCGCTTGTTGGAACAGCATCTGGAGTCTTTCACAAGTTTTGTACAAAGGTGAATAAGGTGTGTCGCGATGGGCCAAACTCGATCCTGTTGGTCCATGAAGCAAGTCCTTGTGGTGTTCAAAGCATGTGCTACTTTATTCAGCGTCTTAGGTCTTGTGCCAAGTCGTCTTGAGGAGTGAACTCACCAGCCAACAACAAGCTATGTCAGGCTAGAGTTGGGGTGTCTCATCTGGCTGTAACTAGCGGTTACTTGCTTACGGCAGCCCTCCAAACACAGTTGCCGTCGATTGCAGGGCTTTCAGTCTTTACTCTCTTCGAACACCAGCAAACCCGCTTCAGAGACTTACAATCTATTTCCAACGCGTTTCTACAGGTCGATTTTTCCGGACCCTACTGTTGACGTGTCAGTCCATAACGATGCCATAGCCGCTCTGGCCACGGGGACTGGCGGGAAGCTTCACGGCTGCGTGCTTATAGCGGGGACGGGGACGATAGCCTATGGTGTTGCGGAAGATGGGAGAACGTGTCGTGCTGCGGGGGCGGGGCCAGCTCTGGGGGACCGGGGGAGGTGAGAGTCGTTTCTGACTTCGTTAGGATGAGCGCATTTCATGATCACACGACCTTCCCGGATGGGTGGGTTCAGGCAGGGATAAAGGGAGGGCGAGGGTGCGGGGACGTCTTTGGGTCTGGTGTTAGCCTCATATCTTTACAAATCGAGCTTGTCATGATCATGCTAGGTGCTCGAGGGCAGCAGATGTCCTGCGGCCGTTGCAATCGCTTCACGAAGGTACTTTGACTGAAAGTCGCTCTAATGCCTTCAGAAACCTGAGCTCTAATGCCTTCAGAAACCTGAGCTAATAGAATAAGGCTTGCGTCAGGTTCTGCCCTTCAAGCGGCGCTGCTCTGTTGCCCCTGGAAAAGACTTTTGAGCCGCTCCACCTCACTCCTATTGCTGCAGCGGCCACGCTATTGCGTCCGAAGCACTGTCCGCAGTGATGCGGGCGGACGACGGACGGGGCCCCGAGACGAAGTTGACGGGCGCAATCCTCGCGAAGCTGGGGCTTTCGAAACCAGAGGATCTTATAGGGTGAGCTTTTGACATTTTGCAACATGGGGTTTACAATTGTGGTGAAGCGGTCTCAGAGGTATGCTCAGGCGAGCCTGCGAAGGCCGTTGATTAACTAACGTGTCGTGGTTTTTCAGGTACTTATGTGACTATCCCCCTTACGACTGTCAGTTTCAGACGAGTCTCCTTGCTTTCTGGAGCACATGGGCTTTCGTTTGGTTGGGCTGCGCTCGAGCAATTCTTGAGTTGCTCGATAAGGCTGATGACGAAACTTTGCTCTTCTGTCTCTCATACTCCTGCTTGGAGAGTTGGAAACACTCACAGACGAGTCCGATGGTTTATCCCGAGATTTGTTGCGGTGCTCAGATACGTTGGCATGCTGCTTTAATCATCTTCTCTGAAAAAGAGGATTTTCGAGTTTCCGTACTTGTGTCTTACTCCAAGGTCATGCGATTTCCATCCAATTCTCGTTCTCGTTTCCGCAAAGGACGGCGAACTCGTTTGCAATCACGCAGAATTCATTCCCAGGGGCTGGCAGGCCGCGTTCCGCCGCTGATCTAGTCAGCCATTGCCCTTCATGTGACCGTCGGCTCCTGTGGTGGATTCAAACCAACCTTGTTCGTTCGGGGCGTGAGACTCACATCAGTTGCCGGAGACGTCTTCACTCTTAGCCCTTTGGTTTTCCTCTTGAGTGCTTCTATAATCTTCGTTGTTGGCCGCCGTAGAGAAAGTATCTGCCGGCTCTGTCGCAGTCCCTGAAAGCCGCAAAAACTGTCATATCCCCTTCGGAAGCAGATGCGGAAACTCTCGGTTTCTTCTCCGCAGTTGGGCCTATAAGGACCACTCGTGGGCTCGCGTCGCCGCTTTGGTTCCCGTCGTGAAAGACACGGCCGCAGCGGGAGACGCGGTCGCACTGCGGATCTTAGAAGAGGCTGTGGAAGAGCTGGCGAGCACCGTCGAGGCGGTTGTGAGGCGGCTGAAACTAGGAGGCGAAGGTACAAAATTCAGCCATGTTCTCTCCCCCAGTTTTTTGCGACAACAATCGTTCTCTTCCAATCATTGCCCCGTCGAGGCGGTTGTGTGGCGGCCAAAGCTAGGAGGCGAAGGTACAGAAGTTTGGGCTATACTCTGTCTCTCTCTTTTGCGAAAAGAGTCTATTCTTGTTCATTCTTGCCGTTGAAAACTCCATCGTGATGTTGCACGTGGATGGGTGTGGCTTTAAGTATCAGTTCGTAGATCACAGCCGCATAGCAACCGGTTTAACTGGATCCCGATTCCGGCGGTCCAATTTTTCCTCGTGCTGTATACAGCCACTTCTTATCATCCTTTGTTACCTTTTTGTCCTCTAAAGCTACTTTCAAAGAACTATGACACAAGGCCACCTCCTCTTTTGAGCTCGCGCTTTCGTCAACCTTTTTTTGCGCTTTATTGATATGACTTCCGATCCCTTCTGCAGATGGTACCGCGTCATTTCCCTTGGTTCTGGTAGGAGGCGTGTTGTCGGACGGCAGTTTCGTGGCCGAGAAAGTGACCAGGAAGCTTACAGAAAAATACCCCCATGCGAAAGCAGTCATATCAAAGCAGGACCCGGCTGTTGGGGCTGCAATGCTTGCATGGCAAGACCACACGAAACGCATGTCGTCAAACAAGTAGAATAACAGAAAAAAATTGGTTATGTTGGTCGCAATCGGCGCAGTTTATCCCGCTTGTCTACGTTGTCCTGATCGAAACGCTTCTTGTCATTTATGTGTATGGTAAACGATCTGCACTGAGTCTAGGTCTTTGTTCTCGGGCCCACCTAGCTGAGAGGCTGCCAACAAAAGTACAACACCATCTACATTCTCTCTATTCACGAGCAACGGGGCCTCAAACACGACCAACATACAGCACACTAACTAGCGCGCCATGTCAATTTCAAGTTGATCACTGTCTTTTGGCAAGTGTCCGACTTTATACACAGAGCGGGTGTTGTTGCCAGGTTTGGCGAGCGACTGTACAGCGGCGGGGTCGCAACGTTCAACGCCGTTGCCAAGAAAACATTGCACGAGTATTTAATTTACCGCGTCCCATCCGCCGACTCTTACAGCTAGTCGTGTCATACTTCATCGCAAAAACACCGCGGTACGTCAGTGTTCAGTTGAATCAAATCGCCACTACCACCGTGCTCCAGAACGTGATGGGGCTGAAATGAACCTCTGCATTAAATGATCAAGTCGACCGTCGCACGAGGCCACCCGGACCACTTTGCGCGCAACACCTTGAGTGCTCAGCGAATGCCCAAAACAACTTGGAACACCCGCTCGATCTGTGTGGAAGGGGTGTGGAAAGACCCGTTGCATGGTGAGTCTGCTCCCCGTCTGCTCAAACTGCAAAGCTGGGCTCTAGCTACAGCCTTAGGTTTGCGCCCCATGCAGTCACTATGTAAGTCCAATTTGCTTGGAACCCAGCATGGCCGTGCGATCAGCTCATCGTTTTTGATAACCGTCCGATTAGTAATCGATGATGTGCGCGCGAGCATCTTACTGGTGTACTGGTGTTGATCGGACTGTTGATCAGGATTGGGTTGGGCGATTGGGCGCCAAGGATCACTTGCAGGCCACACTACGCTACTGCTCAGGTACTACTATGTCATGTACTGGATTGACGAGTCATCTGTCGGTAGAATCTGTCATTGCGGACTCGCGAGAATAGGTAGCTGAAAGGTACCGGTAGCTCACCAGGCGCAGCGCGCTTCCCCCGCGCACTTTTAGGCCATTGACGGACTAATTTAGGTATAATAAGAGCTAGGTATAATAAGCTCCAACTAACACTAAAACCCTAACCCAGCCATCTACCTGCTCCACACCCGTACCCACCCTAACCCCCAAACTAACCCCACCCGTCCCAGCCTGTGGAGCTTAATATTATACCTGCCGCTTATTATACCTAAATTAGTCCGAGTTCTTTTAGGCAGGCTAGCTTTGCGGCTCTTTGACTTTGACAAGCTGCATGCTACAAACGCAATCAGTCATCGACCCAGTTCTTTGCATGATGCGTAGTCCTAGAGCATGGATGGCGTAGCCAGAAACACTGAGCTGCTCCATGGCAACCTCATGGCAAGCTCTATTTCTGACAAGCTGCTCTTTTTCTGACACGCACTTTGCTTTTGGAATCTTCCAAACTTTGATTGAAGAGCAGCAAGTTGAATTCACCGGCGTTCTGACAGCCCTGACCATCACTAGGTTCGAGTTGCCCTGCTTGATATGCACAAGTTGCGAGTTGAGCAGATTGTGCGATGCTCAAGATATTTTCTGCGAGGAATCTACATGTGGCCCATTTCCCTGAAAGTGTGCAGACTCTCCAGCGATAGACATTCCCAGCTGAGCAGCCTTGCTTTCTCATTTGCCAGGCCCGCACTGGACTCATTGACTGAACTGTGACGGTAACATGCTTTTGGGCAGAACAACCTTAGACTGTTCCCATCAACGAATCTGCTGCAGCTGCTAGGTTGGTGTCACAACAATCGCGGGACTAGGGACAATATTCTATCCTAGAGACTGAATTTTGAAGGTAAACGATACATACAGGATGAATCTGCGTATGAATTAGCTAGCTGGCACGTCCTGATGTTAACATTCTGAGTTGCGCTTGACCACTGCCAAAATGGCGAAGAAAGGGAAGGGCAGCGCAAAGGCAGACAAGGCCGCGGACGGGGTCAGCGATGCAGACAGAGATGCACTGAAGAAGGATGAGCGGATTGCTCAGTTGATGCTGGAACTAGAGGAGGTAAGAAGGAGCCGCTATTTCCTTGGAAGGGACATGGAATTTGTGATGTATCCTTGTTTTGGGGTTGAGATGAGTAATACGTTCTTTGGCTACATAAAAAGTATTGCAATGCTGTGAAGCCAATACGTATCGGACTTGAATTTATTAACTTGTTTAAAAACTGCCCTCGAAATCATTCCCTGCGAATCCGATTGTCTGTTGCATTTCCTTTGTGCTTTTGTAGAGAGCTTGATTCCCATTTATGCCGTACTCAAGAAGATAAATTCTACCCTCCGTATCATGCTTACGTTTGCTGGATGTTAAGAAAGCTCCCGCTTGTTTGACTTTCTTTCCACAAAGAGGACGACATCTGCGAATCATGCAACCACTTTACCGCACTGTTCCGCCATGAATTCTTGTCAAGTCGAAATCTGACGTTCTGGAGATGCACCGTCAATCTCCAATTCGCCGTTACGTAAGCTGACCTTGCTGATCCCTGCTGGTCTCTTCTCACGTACCTGGTAACCATGCCTGTTGTGATATAGCCCTCGTCCTGCCCCCCAGTGTCTGTCGAATTCCATGTCAAGTAAAATCATTGAGGAGATTGTTTTGGCATGGTTGATGACACTGATAGAGCTGCAGGAGTTCACATGCGATATAGAACCAGACACCAGCATAATCATCCAGAAAGCATCCAAGTAAATTTATTTTGTCTTGGGCCATTCGAGACTTAGATTTCTATTTAGTCTGGCAACCTTTCACACCACCCCAACGCCGCAGTTAGGACATGGTAGCACATACAAATGAGAGTCTGGCACGGCACGTCTGAGTCCCTCTTCAATCTGTGTTCTCAGTCTAAACCCCTTCTCGTTGCTCAGGAGCTTTCACTGTAGCCGTGCTGCCCCAATGAGGGAGAGTTTTGGACGGGCAATCGAATCAGATGCATTGCACCGCTTCCGGTCTGCTTTCAAATAATGTTGAGGAAAGTGGTCCTTTTACTTACAGGAGAAATGCATCTAAGAGGCATGTCAGATCCTAGACTAAGGCCTACCTAGTGTCGATTCCCATGATAAAGATCCTACCCGTCCCCTTACGTTGGGGGCTTTCACTTTCCCTCTGGAAACTAGGTTTCGTGTTATCGAAAATGGCTGACAATTAGCGCTTGGATTCGTTCTGCAGGCCAAATTAGGAACCGCCTTTGCGGACAAGAGAGCGGAGGAGCTCATGCGGGCACGGGACGACCTTCGGAGAGAGATCATCACGGTCAAACAGGTGGGTAGATTGTTTTTCTGGCCATGGATTGGGCTGTTTAGAATTTTGAACCTTGTAATTTTGGTGGGACGTTTTACACAGCTGGCATACAGCACGGCTTTTCTGTCTACATTCACGTGAACGTTGCTGCTTTTCTTGCGAAGAGCCGATCGTCATTCTTCCTGTCAGTTTCGAAAGTGGCTGATTCGTGGTTCGAGGGAATGCAACTCTTCCGCTAGCAGGCGCCGCGCTGGCGGGCCCTGGAGTCAAGGCTACAATCAAGCAGAAACGCATAGTTCTTTAGATAGGATAGCCTTACGTCAACCCCAAGCAAGCCTGCATCTTGAATGTGGCGCTACGCTTCCCCTCTGCCCCCAAGACCACTACGCTTCCCAGCCGACATGTACTGTCGGCATTCTCGCGCTTGTTATCTATCTTGCTGTCGTTCTTCCTTCTTGTTGTCCTCTTGAAAGTCTCTGAAGCTGCACTTCCGTGTTTCTCGCTAACCTTCCTCTCTGCCCCGAGGACTGCGACGACATCTTAGCCCAATTGTTACGTGTGGTTTGATGCGGCACTCTCGCGCTTCGTATCTATCCTCATTTCGGCCCTACTTTTCGAGTCTGTCAGAATCTTCGAGACTCCGCTCCGAAATGTTCGCTAAGCTTCCGCTCTGCCCCCAGGACTGCAACGACGTCCTAGCCGACATGTAACGTGCGGCACTCTCGCGCTTTTCATCTATCTTCCTGTTATTTCTTCCTTTTTGATGTTCTTTAGAAATCTTCTGAAGCGCCGGAATTCTCGCTAAGCTTCCTCTCTGCCTCGAGGGCTGCGACGACATCTTAGCCAAATTGTCACGTGCGGCATCTCGCGCTTGATGCGGCACTTTCGCGCTCTGTATCTATCCTGACTTCGTCCCTCCTCGATTCTCTTGATATTGATAAGTTCCGCTCCGGATTTCTCGCTAAGCTTCCGCTCTGCCCCCAGGACTGCGACGACGTCCTAGCCGACATGGAGCGCGAGCTCGCCGCGCGCTCGGCCATCGCGAGCGACCTCCAAAAGACCGTCGACGACCTCACGGCGAAACTAGAGGCGCGAGACTTGCGGGTCCAGGAACTAGAGCGGGAACGAGAGATTGCGCGGCAGCAGATGGCGCAGGCGGGGGCGGTCGTTGCGGAGCGGGAAAAGACATTGGCGAGAATAAGGGAACTAGAGGCAGAACTAGAGGGGCGGGAGGCGAAGATTCGGATATACGAGGTGAGGGCGACACTTTGCCTGCTTTCTTGCTTCTGTTGGTCGCCTATCTTTCGGTGTGCTTTCGACTGGAAGCAAAGAAAAAGAGCACGGCAGGACAGAAAGGACGGTAGGGAAAGGGTAAAAGGGAGAGTTGGCAAACGCGATCAAGAGAGACTAAGTGGACCATCTGTTTTTTGTCGAAAGGCTAAGCAAATGATCTTCGAAAGTAACTAAGCATGTAGGACTTCAGAAACTGAGCTCGGAGTTGACGACTCCGCTCTTCGGAATAGGATTTTGCAGATTGACCCGTTTCGGCTAGAAGCGCCCTTCGGACGGCGCGGCAGACTGCAGACGGCATGCTACCCTCCAAGGCATAAGCGAATAGCTTTGAAGACGGAAAAGGCGGAGAGCTCGCGAGTTCACTCCTATCGTAAAAGATAATCAAGGAAACGAGCTGAAACTCTTCTAGCGGAGTAATCTGGAAGGCGGAAGGCGCCCTCCAGAAGGCGCAGCGGAGTGCAGACGACTTACGCTTCCTAAGTGCGAATGTGGAATCGGAAGATAACCAGAACTGATGAGTTTTACAAAAGTAGACATGCTCTTGCAGAACAGTCCAGATTGGCTGGAGGCCGCTCGGCTTTCGGCGCAGCACAGTGCGGACGACGTACCATCAGTAAATGCGAATACGAAGACTAAACAGCTCGGAGGCGTTCACCGACGTTTGAAACATCCGCGAAAGAGTTGAGACTAACGTTCTCTTGCAGAGCAATGTGAATCGGCTGGAGGGCGCTCTTCGGACAGCGCGGCAGAGGTGGGAGGACTACGCTTCCTAGCAACGGATGTTGATCGGAAGAGGGCGAAAAACGTCAGAAACTCTTAGAACAGAAACTCTTAGAACAGATCAGTTTCGCGACTATAATGTAAACGCATCTGTCGAATTTTCGTTGCAGAGTAACCTCAATCGGCTGGAAGGCGCTCTTCGGACGGCGCAGCAGAGTGCGGACGACTTACGGTTAGCAATGGCGCGCAGCACGCACACCGTCTTCGTCGGCGCATTGCCATGGACGCTCCAGCACACCCGCCAGAAGCTGACGGACAGCAGTGTGAACGTGCCCACGGAGCGGGACCGGAGCACGCTTACCAAGGTGAGAATTAGTTGGTTTCGAGTCACTTCAGCGCAATCCCTTCTGTTCGTTTTCTTTTGTGTTTATCACGGCTTGATTGTAATGACAAAACGCCACATGCGGCCCCCAGAATACAACGGACAGCATTTCGAAAGTGCCCACGGAATGAAGCCCCGCAGCACCTTATTGGAGTGGGAGTTCACCGCATCGCTTGATAAAAATGCACATGCCTTCTACGTGATCCGGATTTCCTCCGATGAGCACACTCGTTTTCACAGGGGAAGTGCGACTCGCTTGCCAGAAACGTATCTCGAGGCCTGTTTCAAGACTCGATTGTTCACGATAATACAAAACGAAACGCGAGTTGGCTGGATAGAAAACAGTTTCCACTTATCGGGCCGGACACGAGTCAATGTGCCGCAGTGGTGCCCGGGGACTTGAGCATCTTCACCGACACGAAGCCGTGACGTTACCGCGTTCTCTTGAAGCGAAGACTATATCGACTGCAACATTTTTCCTATCAGCATCTCCCGCCTTCTTAGAAGCAACTATACAGGGATTTAAGATGGCTTTTGATGTCATCTGCTTCCTCTGTCAGATCGGCTCCAAGCTGTATCTCTTCGGCAGCACCACCCGCGGCGGCTCGATCACCAACAATTGAACGCTTTAATAGAGCCGTCATGTACACCGCACTCTCAAAAGTGACGTAATCCTGAATCTAACGTCATACCAATCCTCATCTACCTACTGTCCTTCTCAGATCGGCACCAAGCTGTACCTGTTTGGCGGCACCGCCCAGGGGCTCCGGCACCAACAATTGAACGCGTTGATAGAGCCGCAACATAGGGCACTCTCATAAAGTGACGTAATCCTGATCTAACGTCATACCAATCCTCATCTGCTGTCCTCCTCGGATTGGCTCCAAGCTGGGTCTCTTTGGCGGCACCGCCCAAGCGTCGACTCATTGAACGCTCACGGAGCCTTCCTGAATACCGCCTTCCCATTCATTGATTTTATGCTGGCAGAATGTGACGTCATATCATTCCTCATCTGCTATCCTCCTCAGATTGGTTCCAAGCTCTACCTCTTCGGCGGCACCACCCGCGGCGGCTCTGGCACCAACGAACTCTTCGCGTACGGCGCCGAGCTGTCGCTCTGGGAGCGCGTGCGCGCGAGCGGCGACGCGCCGTGCGCGCGTGGCGGTCACTGCGCGGTCGCGCTGCCCCGCGGCCGGCTGCTCGTCTTCGGCGGCCGCCGGAATCCGCTGCTGAACGACTGCGTCCTTTTCAACGTCGACTCCGGCATTGTAAGGAACCAATCTTCTCCTGAACCAAACCTGGAAGTCGGCGGGTCCGTTTATGTATTGGAACGGTTTAAGCGCCGCTCTCTTTTTTATTGTACAAATTAGGCGGCGAATGCCCTTGTCATTCATTCCTAGGGAACAGCGAAGCTATCCAATCCAACGATGTTTGAAAGCCCTGCTCCTCCAAGTCAGCCTCTCCTTCTTCCAAGCGGTTCTCAGTAGGCTCCCCTAAACACGAGTGGCGTTTATCTTTCTCCCAACAAATAGGCCTTGAGGGCGGGGCCAGCCAGCAGCCGGTTCTAGATTGACCGGGGGGGCTGTTTATAACCTCCTCTCATCCGACCAGTGACGATTTGCGGTTTTCAAAGAACCCCAGGGAACAGCCCATGTGATTCACATTTCTTGAGATTTTTCCTGCAGTGGACCCCCCTGAAAACCAGTGGCGTTCCGCCCCCCCTGGTGGAGAAAGCTGCCATGGTGGTTGTTGGCAACCGGGTACTCCTGCTGGGGGGAGACTGCGGTGACGTCAGCGAAAACGACCCGGGAATCCAAGTCCTGCAGGGCCTCTTCGAGCTAGACCTCGAGGTGAGACGTTCCGCTAGCTGATTCCGTTCCGCTGTTCCGATCCGTTCTTCCGTTCGGTCAGGCAAACATGCCCTCGCGGCCTTCATTTATGGTGCAGAGAGTTGCGTCAGTCATTGGCGTAAGCAATTCCGGGCGCGATAAGGAATGCTGCAGTGCGTTTTTGAGCGAAAGCGTGCCTGCATGTGAGGGATTCCGGTCAGAGGTCGGTCAGCGGTCTGCGTTTCTAACGTTCCGCTCCTTCCGCCAAGCGGTTCAAATGTTTTGACGAACTCGAATATCAGGGGCACCATCTTCTGTAGGGGCTTGGATTCTTGCGGAAGCTGGGTTTTAGTGCTTGATAAGACTTACAGGAGGCAATCCGCTGAGATTTCAACTTGAATTGAATGTTCCGATCTGAATGAGTACGGCAGGTTCGATGGTCGAAATCAAAGAAATGAGGGTCCTCTTTTTCAGATTCCATTTGGGCGGTGTATCAATTGGTGGCGTCACCAGCCGGGCCGTTCCAATCGATAAAACATCCCTCCGTGCTCTGGGGTGAAAGAGGTGTTTGTTTGAACCGCAGACGTTTACGTGGCGCATCTGCCCCGCGACCGGAATCCCGCCCCAGCGGTGCGGAATGACGCTCACCGCAGCGGAAGATGGGCAAAGCGTGTTTGCATTCGGCGGCTACGGCGAGGACGGCGCATGTCGCAATGACGTAAGCAATAATTTTTGTGCAAACTCACCTCTATCATTACATTTCGTCCTTCTTTCAGTTCTCTCTTACGTTATAACTTATGCTCGTACTTTCCTTTCCCTCCGTCACTGATCTGTGAATCTCTTTACGGTCTGATCTCGTCCGTCAAACAAGAACCCAAACTTGAGACTCAGTTGGCTTATCTTCTGGGTTCTCTCGTTGAATCCTTGGTCTCAGAAACGTATGGATGATGAGTTTCGGCGGCCTTTGTGATCTTTCCAGATACACGTGCTGAACGTGCCCGGACTGGAGTGGAGCAGCCCCCCAATGGTCATGGGCACCCCGCCAGCGCCCCGGGAGGGCCATGCGGCAACAATGATCGGTGAGTTTAGAGTTTTAGTGTACAGTGTATCTACTATCCTAGGGTTTCAGAGGATTAAGGTTCTAGCTAAGATGTACATTGATGAACATACTCAAGGGGGTGGAGGCGCGGTTTGGACGCTCTTTCAAGCCTTGATCCAGTCACCGAAGATCCAGGTGGAACACAATTTGAGGTCGGGGATTTGGCTGAGGCGCCACTTCTTGCAAGAGGTAATGCACGTGTTGAGGAATAACGTGCAGGTGTCCTAAGATTGACTTTTGCCCACACTTTCCGTTCCCTCATTCCGCTCAACGTTCCGCTGGCCGCAGGGCGGTACCTGCTCATCAGCGGCGGCCACGACCGGGGCCACCATTACTTCGACACATTCATGTTCGACACAGGTGCGTGGAAGAGGACTTGGGTTTTCCTTGTCATTTTCTTCGTTTCTCAGCTCTTGTCGTTCCTATTTCGACACGTTAATCTTCCACTCAGGTGCGTGAAACGAGCGTCAAATGCTTTCCTAATCTCTTGTTTCCCCCCATTACTTCGACGCGTTCATGTTTGACACAGGTGCGTAAAGTAGCGAGCGTGGTTCTCACCTCCTATTTCTTCTTCTTGTATTTCCGTAAGGTCTCTCTTCCACTTCTCTTCTTCTCTCTCTCTTCAACATAGATTGGGAGTTCGATAGATCCAATTCTGGAGCGGGGACACTCGAAAAACGTCCTTCACAGCGCCCCATTAGCCAAAGGGTTCCCTTTCACGGTCGCTCGAAATGGCGACATCGCAGCGACTGAATCCTCAACCAATCTGTGCCGCTGGATCGCCACGTGTTGGAGTTGTCGCCTCCGTTTCGTTTCTTTATTTTTTAGGCAGCCGGGTCGTCAAGTTGGCCGGACGTTAAGGGAATCTGCAATATGCCCGTGAATCAGGAATCGGCGCCTAATGTTGTTGTTCATGCTTTGTCACCCGCCTGGGCTTGAATTCTTCAAGTGAAAGAAGTCAGCTGAACGTTGCGTTCAGTTTTCTATCTTCTGGTTCGACGCCCTCGTTTCCGCTCAGGAGTCAGACCGCCGCCTCCAAGTTTCCAATCACTGGCTCCCACCCGCCCTGTCGTACTGAATACCGTTATGATTCAAAGCACATATTGACAAAGAGCCTGCTTGAAACAAAAGAGAGAACCCAAGAAATCCGAAAATCAACGAGGGGCAATCCGACCTTTTCTTTGCAGAGCTTCTTTGTTGGGAGTCCCTCGACTCCGGTTCCGGCCTCGCCGGCTTCTCGGCGGACTCCGCCGGACCCGCCAGGCTCAGCGGCAGCCAAGCGGGCCTGCCGGGGGATCCCTCCGGTCGGCCCCGAAAGCTGAGCGAAGCGCCCGGAGAGGGATCCCCCGAGAGGAGGCTGCGCCTAACCGCGTTTGTGGACAATAAGCTACTGTGCTGGCATCCAACCGATAAGACGAGTGAGCTTGTAGCGCTTGATTTTCTGTTCCTATCTTTTGAAAGTGTTTGTTGCTGCCCGCCCACTTGTGTTTTCTTGCGGAAGCAGAGAAGCGGAGACGGTGGGAGAATATCGTCACGCGATTTTGAAACTTTGCTTCTCGGACGGGTGTGTAATGCTCCAATTGGTGCTGTTGCCTCTTTCATTGATTGAGTTGTTGCAACGCCGCAAAGGGCGCAAAGGGGAAAGCGAGGGGACTCGAGCGGCAGAAGGGCGCCCCCATTTGTGCGAGCAAATAGGATGGTGACTTGTTCGGGTTAGCAATTCCTCTTAAAATGTCGAGAGGGTCTTCGAAGTTGCGTTCAGGCCAGACATTGTCGATCTAAGCTCTAGATTCGCTGTTCATTTCGACAAAAGTAGTCTGTTCCTGATATCACACTTACTCAAGGGCTGCATTTTTCTCGGTATTCATTTCATGCGGTTCGCTTTCGCCCAGGCCCGTTGCTTCTTTTGCCGCTTCCAGGAAACATGCGTCAATATGCAGCTGTTCGAAACCAAATACTACTCTCTACGCGGCACCATCAGATTGTTGGCTGCGATCGGTCTATTCTGATCCGAAGGGTGTCTATCTCTTCTCAGATTCGTTGATCCTTCTGGACACGGTCGACATCCAGATTCCGGAGGGGGCCTTTGTGAGCCGGGCAGTTCGAAACGACGAGATTGCAGGTGGGTTATCAGTCTTTCAAGATCTTTTGCTGTTTGAAGGCAAGAGGTTTGGGAGCGAGCTGGTTCGTTTGTGCCTTCGAACATCGCGCACTGGCATTTTACATTTTCAGACACTCAGACTCAGGTTAAATGGGGAAGAAGCGAGATAATTGACCTCGCCTTGAACTGACCGCTCGACCAGAATGCAAACCCCCGTCTGCCCAGTTTTGTCCACCGCTCACAGAAAAGGGCACGCGGATCCAGAATAGCCGCGCGCCCTCCGGATAATGAGACCCTTCTGCTGCATCCAGTCTTCTGTTGACATTCTGCATTTTTTTCCCCATCCACATCCGCCTTATCGCCGCCAAAGATAACCGCTTAAGTAGCGCATTAACCCGCTTCCAACCTGGTTTGTTCTTCGCTTACAGCGGAGGCGCACGCGGATCCGAAAGAGCCGCGGGCCGTCGACGTGACCTGGCGCGTACCGCCGAAGCACAAAAAAAGGGCTGTTGCGTTTAAGGTAAGACGGCGACGCCCCTTACCAAGTTCGGTTACCATGCCTTACAGAAGGGACTTAAGCGCGTCCTTGATCAAAAGCCCACCTTGCCGGCATCCATGACTTCTCTCCACAGAACGCCTTCGACTTTGGCCGTTTTGTCAATTGGAGGCCCTGAAAAAGGATTTACCAGCACAGCCAACTAGGTCTTCGGTCTGGCCATTCAATAATGTTTTCAGTAATCACCTGTTGCCCAAATTTTTGTATAGCGTCGGGCCGATCACTGCAATTGGCAGGGCAGCTGGATGCCGCTCATCTGAGCCGCGTGATGCGTGTTCTCAAATTCTGTGACAACGTCAAACCCGGTATCACAGCCCAAGGTCGCCGCAGTCGCCTTTTCAGTCCTGAGATAGACAGACACTTTATCCATGTGATGCCGAGGATAGGTTGTTGTGTGGATTCAAATCTGAGAATTCAGCCGGGTTTGTGACAAAGAATGGTTTACCGGCTGCATGGCAAAGAGGAATTCCACTCGAAGTTTTAGATCTCATTGCCTTGGTTCTTGACAAAGGCGTCAGTCGGAAAGATCTGGTTGTTCGCAACCGTCGCGTATAAGTGCTTTCTTCAGTTTCCACGTAGACGGGACCTTTCAGTTTTGACCGGTAGGTTCCATTGATTAATCAACCGAATCCACCCACAAATAGTAGAAGCTCTTTCCCGGGATTTGCCAAATTGTTCCGACTACCGCCTCCGCCTGCAGGTGTTGATGGGCGTCAAAACGAGCAACGTCATCCGCGAGGTCTACAGCGGAACGGAAGACCATTTCCACCTGAGCGGACTTCGCTCCGGCGCGGACTACTACTTCCGGGTCAAAGTGAGCGGAACGGTCTGGGAAGTTGGGCCGTTGGTTCGAGTCGCAGTTTGCACATTTGGATTCTAAACCCATGCGATAACTCACCCAGTTGATGTGGTTCCTGCGGCAAGAGCATATTTGCGTTGATTTAAGTGAAACCGCTGGATTGTCCATTCCGTCGCCGATGCAAGCTGGGCTGTTCGGTGGAAAGTTTGAAAGGTACTGCGCTGAATTTGACGCAAGAAGCAAATTGACACATACATAGTCTGGCTGCGCTCAGTATCTGTTCGGGACTTGACTCTCTATCATGTAATACGCACGGGCGATTCCCAAGCACGGCGGTTGCTTGGGAACGCCGCAACGCCGCAATCAGTTGTCGTGCAACGACGATGGGCGCACCGCAAACCTAGTCTATGAACCCGGTCAAGTGAGATCGAGAGTGGGATCTGACCTTCTTTGCATTCTGCTCGATCTGCTCTAATCTTGGGTTACGTGCCGGTTATGCGGGGCGAATTCCAAAGACGCCAGCTGTCTGGGGAGCAACTTGGCCGCCCTTCCACCTCGAACCCGCAACGCCGCAAACCTTTAAATTGACCTTGCTCCTAACCTCGGGTTACGTGCGGGTTACGCAGGGCGAGTTCCAAGACGGCGGCTGTTTGTGGAGCAACGTGGCCGCCTTCCACCTCGAGCCCGCGAAAGATCGCCCCGTCACGTCCCCGAGCGCGCACGCGCGCGAGCTGGGCCGGCCCACCTTCTTCGACGGGCACAGGTGGTGACGTCACGCACCGCAAATGACGTCAGCAGAGCGAGAAGGTAGCCGCGCGCGAGCACACGTGATTGGGGTCCGGTCAAAGCATGACAGTCGCCAGTGTAAGAGTGCATTATGCAGCTCGCGTTGACGTCAGCACGCGGCTGCATAGGGGTGCTGACGCCAGTTCTCGCCCCTCCAAGTCGCCTTCACGTCCGATTAGCAGAATGTCTTGTCGCCAAAGCGGCGGGAGCGGCGTTCTCCGTCCGCCGAGCGAGACGCGCGCGAGTTTGGGCGGTTGTGGCGAGGATCCGCGGCTTAGAAGCTTCCTCGCCCACGATCCGCTATATTGAGAATTGAACGAGTGGCAGCCGTCTCAGAGTAGCTTCAGTTTAAGCGAAAAGGGACAAGCTTGTAGATCATGAGTTGGATGTAAACTGCTGGGCTCCCTTGGTTGGTTGGCATGACCGGTACGTCTTTGCACGCGTAGGATCAGTGTCTAGCAAGGCGTAGCGAGTTGCATTCAGCATTTCAAAAGTTGGCGATCAGATTATTTTGTGAGGTATTAGGTACGTAGGGTCCAATCGTGGAGAAGGCTCGAGCCTTGCAAGTAACCAGACACTCTTTTGGGGTGCATTTTCAAATTCTGTTGAAATGTGTGGGTTGCATGTCACGGTTCCGTGGGGGCGCTCCACCAGTACCTTGTTTTTAACCCCGACACGCCGATTCCATATGCCCGTAACACGCGCTCAGCTACTCAAAGCTCTCGTTTCTTGGGTATCAATTACTTTGAGTCTGCTGCGCCTCTCAGTCGAACACAGCTCATGTCCACTGTTATGTCCAAGCCCACTTTCCTGGCACTTGGCAGGTGGTCGACCGGGCCGGGTATCTTCTTATGATCCAGGCTTATGCTTCGTCATGTACCGGTAATTCAAAATCTGGAGCCCTGTGATGCATTCCACTGACGATCTTGGTGTTCTTGCAAATTCTCCGAATAGTCTACTAGATGCATGAGAGATGAGTCCGAGTCCCCGGTATGTCCACCTTCAAGCATCAGTGAGTCATCGGTGCATGTACGCTATATATGATTGCGAGAAAATGATTCGTCTTCCATTTGCAACCTTCGATGTATAATCATGCAAATGCCGCGCTGTAGAAGCTTCACTGGCCAGATCTTACTAAGCAGTAAAAGCGCGCGGAATGTGCGGACTGGTCGCCTGTCAGAGCGCGGCTGCCTGATCAGCCGCTCACCCGCAACGAAGAGCGTCGCCCTCACGTCGGCTGTACATGTGATTCCATTAAATGGTGACGTTAAGTTGAGATGTTTATACTCCAATCTATCATATCATCACCATTTATTTGATAGACAAGCTATGAGCGAGGCATGCTAGCGCTGCCACTGCTGATAGTCCTAAGACTAACCTGCGGTCCAGACTTCCCCGAATTAGGACTTCGGACAGCGTGAGGACTCCACAAAATGCACGAGCCTGAGGGTGGCCGTTCAGACAGTGCCGAGGCTCTGCTATGTGTAGCACGTATGAGCGAACTTTGATCTCGACTGATTCGTGGGCCGCAGTCTGCTTACTGCAAACCAGGATCAGTAGATATGTCCTTTTGAGAAGCTCGCAGCCGCTCGTGACGGCGGCGCCGCCGCTTTGACCGTCATTTGAGGCTATATGCCATGGCATGCCAGATGCGCGGGCTAGCGAATGATTGAGTGCGCGCGCGGCCGCTCGCAGGCCCCTGGGGCAGCGCCGGGGTTGTGCGTGGCTTTATGATAGCCCTGGCGCGCGCACTGCGCGCGCCCGGTATCACACAGTGCTTACTAATATTGGCTCATTGCAACCACTGATCAGATTCATGAACGATCCCTAAACTTTCGAAAGAAGGTCACATCATATAGGGCCCGCCAGACCTGCTGACCGGCTTGAAAGAGGGAAGGTGCTCCTCAAAGGCATACACTTCTTTGGTAGCTATTCTATAAAGTCTTAAGAAAAGGCGCCGCCTCCCATAGCATGCGGTTGCAGCCATGAGGGGCCTGTTCCTGCTATCCTCGCTGGTTCGGAAGAGGCTCGGAGGTCAGCTCAGCGATGGCCTCCCTGCTATGGGTAGCTTCCTGTGCAATTCGCGTGCATCAACTCTGTCCGAGTCTTTAGCAACGCCGGCTGCAGGGAAGGCGGGGGTCTCTCTTGTCACATCTTCTGCAATATTCCAGCTCTTGACAAGCATGGAGGTTTCGCAGAGATCTCTGCATCCAGCCAGCAAGTGGCAGAGAGCCCTCTCGGAAGGAGAGAAGCTGAGAGCGCATCCCTGTCTCCATATTCGTGGCCTCCGGTCTCGAGCACCTCGGACCCTCAAACTCGACATTGCAAAATTCAACAGGAAGCTGGCGCAGGTTTCGTCGGAACCCTGCAACGAAGTATCAGACGGTGCAGAGGCTTTTAGAGTCTCTGCACAAACTAAAGACGGGGCTGTCCAGCGCTTTGGGTGAGCTTACAGGTTCAACACAAGCGAGCCGTCATTGGAGACAAAGAACACAGCTAATGCTAGACCAGGCGGATTGTGGGATCGGCTCTGTCGAAACATTGCTCAAATTCGAGGAAGCGGTTGCTCACTCTGCGCATATCTCATCGAAAACCTCAGAATTTCATGCACTTAATGATTCGAGTAACGAAGAGGAAGACAAAGCTAGCATTGTTGGGGATGGAAACGACACAGCTGAACAGCAGGGTGACATTGACGTGACTGCTCTTGACAGGACGTCACTCAAGAGTGACTCCGAGTCTGATGGAATAGATGGTTCAAGTGACAACGAAACTTGCTCGGATATTGATGAACATTCATTAAATAATGAACAGTCATCTGACGAAGATTCGCCAGAGGTGCCTATTATATGGTGGGACGAGGATGATCTAGAAAATGATTTCAAGGAATTGGTTGGCCTGGAAGAATTGAAGCAGATGCTGCTCCAATGGTGCAAGGGCTACGCCCTTGACAAGAAGCGGAGATCCCAAGGTAAGGCTTCCTTGAGCTGTGCAGGCTAAGAAGCATGTAAAAGGTTCTGCTCTTCACTGTCTCTATACTATCTACAATTCCTGTAGTATCTGACTTCTTCTTCCAGTTCATCCATGAGTCTTCTCTATTGTCTATCTGAAAAGCCAGAGGATGGTCTTAGACAGTTGGAAGTTTGGTACCAGTTCAGCAATCTGGCCATCTTCCTAATGTTTTTCTTTGCTTCGAGGCTTCTGCGAGGCTTCTGCGGAGATTCTTCAGTGCGCTCCTTTGATGCAGAATGATCTCTTACGGGCAGAAGACTAGGACCTATACGTTCCGATCTTGCAATTGTCAGCCACCGAGTGCCAAAACGCAAACTGTTGAAACATCTGCCTTATTAACCTTGCCTGCAGATAGCCTTCTTTCCTTATGTTCATCGGCAACATCAGCAGGGGTTTGGGTAACCTGGTTCGGACGCTTTTTAACCTGACATTCTGAGCACTTCCAGGTGCTGAGATTGGTCTCCGCAAGCCCCCAAACATGGTTTTCCTTGGAAACCCTGGGACCGGCAAAACCAAGGTCGCGCGCATGCTCGCGCACATTCTTCACAACATAGGGGCCATAAGACATGCCAAAGTCGTCGAGGTGCAAAGGACGGATCTGGTCGGCTGTTATGTTGGGCGTACGGGGATCAAGACGCGTGCGCAGGTGAGCACTCACTGAAGCTTCATTGTATCATATAAACGGATCGTTATCCATGGAGCTTCTTATCCTGTGAACAGTCAAACATTTCTTTCTTCCCCAATTCCGTCTTCAGATAGAGAAAGTACGACCAGGAAGGAAGGAGGCCTTGGCTTTCGAAAATGAACAATTGAGTTGTTCCTTGCTCGCACGTTAGCTTGGAGCTCTGGTGATATGAGACAACCAGTTTTCGCAAAATACAGCGTCGGAAATGCTCGAGTACATGAGTCAGCCAACTCGATTTAGAGGGATGAATTGCTCTGTCTCGAAAGCAACGTCATCGCAATCACGGTTTTCGGTTGCCTCGATCGACCAACCGTGTTTGCATTCACGAAATTCCTGAAATCATCTGCAGCTGCGCAAAGCAGAGGGAGGCATCCTCTTTGTTGACGAGGCCTATCGGCTGCTGACGGCGGAAGACAACACGAGTGACTACGGCCGGGAAGCGCTGGACGAGATACTGAGTCAGATGGACAGCAAAGATCTGGTGGTTATATTTGCAGGTGATCCTGAATCAATGTGCTCTTCCTATCAACTTTGATTGGATGTTACATAAGTTTTAGCTCTAGGACTTTCAGCAGCTTCAGTGGTAGAGTGTAAGGCTGGACCTATCTGTTCGGACGGCGCTTCTTGGTGAGTTCTTGGCGGGTTGAACATGCGTGAGAATGATTAATTCTGAGGATTTTTGAATTGAAGGTATGGGCTCAGAGCGGCCGGAACGGGCAGCTCGCTCAGAGCTCTTTCACGAGGACGCTTTTTACTTTTGTGAGACCCGGGTCTCTACGCATATACCACCAGCTAGAGATAGTTTCGGTCACTATACGGAATGCGGTCTGAACTCTGGTGGAACTGACAAAGTCTTGGGTTGGCTCCGAATTTGTTCTTACAAGACAACCAAGCAGGTCCATTCAATCATCTGGTCGAGGCCTTCGATCGTCTAGCTCTTTTCAAGGCGATCTGCCTCCTTCATCAAAGGCCGCTTTGCAAGCGTAGGCGCGGGCTCACAGTCGTCTGACTCGCCTGCGTTTGAGGCATTTGTACTCGCGTGATGTACAAGCTATGTCCCATAGCTGCAGATAAAGGTTTTCGATCTTAACGTGTAAAGGCCAAAAATGTTGTAGTCGAAGGCACAACCTGCATACTGTATGCAAACAAATTGCTTCTCCACCGAACTCCAGGTTACACGGTACCTATGAAGAAGGTTCTCGACTGCAACGAGGGCTTTCGCCGTCGCGTGGGGCGCATAATTGAGTTCCCGGACTATACTCCCCTCCAGATCGTTGACATAATGAATGCCAAGCTAGCTGAGGAACGCACGTGCCTCCAGGGCTTCAAGCTTGCCCCAGACTGTACGCGAGATGCCGTCGCAGCGCTCATTGAAAGCGGGATACCGGCGGAAGAGCGGAGCAAACGGAACGGGGGGCTTGCGGGCACGCTGCCCGAGTACGCGCGCGAGCACCTGGACGGGCGCTTGAGCGCGGAGACCGACGATTTTGACGAGCTGATGACGATAGGGATGAAGGACCTCGAGGCGGCGGTTTCGCAGGTCGCGTCCTGCGCGAAGTTCTAGCAAGTGTAATTCTTTTTGCAATAACGAGGTGGAAGAATGACTTCCGGTTCGAAACTTTGTGTAGGCGAATGAAGAACTTAGTATCAAGCTGGTACGGTCTACTCTAGAATGCGGGCTCAAAGCCAACTTGGTACAAAGTCGTTGGCTAAAGCTTATCGTCTGATGAATTGGCTGAAGTGTGGCTTCTGGGGCGCCAGCCGGAGGTTTGCGTCACGTCCTGCAGCTCATCAGCCCATGAATATGAAACTTGTCACTTCGTCACTTAACTCGGCCTTACTTACGTCGCCAGACAGTCTGGACATGGGAGACATGAATCAACGAATGTAGGAGAGTATGCTTTCGATGCTTTAGCGTTAGCCGTTGATATGTAGCAGGATTTCCAGTTCCCATATCATGTTCCATGCAAATATTCTTTTTACAGCTAAGCTGACGGCTGGCTTTAGACCTGACTCCATAAACATAATTTGCAGAGTCGCAGAGTACTCGACACGACTGAGCTAGTTATCGTCGGCGGTTTCCTACTGAGCACCCGATTCAACCTGTTTGAAGATTCAGCCGGACGGCCTGCCTGAATTCCAGCTAGCGAGCTTGACACATGCAGACCCGGCGTGCAAATACGATCGTGACATGATCAGTGCACAGCGCATTCGGAAGTCCCAAGGAAGTCCAAGGAAGTATGATGCCGCAGTTCTTCGATGCTGGCTAAGCGGCCTGAACTTGACTATTGTCCACGTTGCAAGCACGCTGCACCGGATTTGGATGCTGAGACAGCACTGCAGGAATAGCGTCATCATTGGCGGACCGGTTGAGAGTGCTGGGCGAGCTGTGAAAAATCATAGGAGACCAGCGCGCGCGCGCGCGTGAGTTGGCCGCCGAATCATGCTAACGCGCGCGGTACGGTCGGTGCCAGCATAATCATTGCCTCGCGCCTCCGAATTAATTAGAGAATAATTCTACCGATGTACCATAGCAGAAGTTCTTTGAACAGTGTTGAGCAAGAATGATCTCCTGCCAGGGCCCAGCGTCCTAACTTGAGCGACGGTAGCTCCATGCAAAGTTCGGCAGCTTCAAGCCCGGCCCAGAGCGCAAGAGGGCGTCTGCATGCGCTGTCAGGAGGGGCCGCGCACTTCGCCAGGATCCGGTGACGAAGTTGCCAGCGGTACACTGACGGAAATCCTTGGCATTTTCAGCAGACTCGCATTCATTCATTCAACTGTTTCAGTAGCCAAAGTAGCGTTCAAAAGTCCTCTCCCTTGAAACATACGCCTAGACTCTGTCCAACCAGTCGACTTCGTTCCGGAGAACACTCCTACACTTCAGATTATAAGCCCACTACCTGCAGAAAGCCGGGGGCGGCAGGGGTAGCAACTTCGTCAGATGATGCTTGGATCGGATCAGCCAGGCATTCATGAGCTGTTCTGATCAACTGGGCAGCATTGAGGTCAATGAACCCTCTCAATAAATTTTGGCAGGCATTGCAAGCGTGGAGGATCAGTGAATGTTGCGCCTCATGATCAGGCCCTGGTCAAAGAGTTGGCAAAGAGTGGAGGCATTAGCTCATATACAAGGTGACCCACATTGCGCTTCGTCGCTCATGGGCACCCCAGAAGCAAACCGCGACATCCCGCGGTTTTGTAGCCCCTTCTCATAACGACAACTAGCTCCTCACCCGCTTCCTAAGCTCTTATAACCCTGGGAAAGCCTTTACCCAATATTGTCACATCAGCAACCAGATATATCTTTACAACTGTATACTAAGCGCGTATAAGCTATGGAAGACCGCGCCCCTGCCGGCGCTCATGTGCGTGGACATAGCCCCCGACGTTGCGCACAGCTACACGATCAGAATCAACAAAGAGTTTCTTCAGGATATGCCCCACAAAGAGGGGGATGCTTATAAGCCTTCACCGCCCCCCCCGGCTACGCACGAGAATCCCTTGTGGGAGCTTCGGAAGGACAGGAAAGTGGCTCCAAGAACCATACTCTACGATCCACAGTCGCCCTTTGCGGCGCTCACAAGATTTGCGGGAACATCGCTGCAAATGGTTCTGAGACGGCCCGACTTTTACGTCATCATGCTCGTACACGTGTTCCTGTGCGCTGTGTACTACCAGGTTTCGCACAACCCGATTCTCCTGGCCAGCAGCAACGGCGAGCAACAATCGTGGCCGTTCCTCTCCCCGACAGTAGTCGGTGAGTGCTCGCTTATTCCAAGGTCCGAGGGCAGCGGCTCTTCAACTTGTCTATCGATGGTATTTTCATCTCCTTTATATGGGCGATAGGACTCTCTTTTACTCCTGGGCTCGAAAACAAAAACAGAAGGCCACAAGTTGTTGTGGGCTGATTAATATTGCTAATTAAACTCAGTCGTTGCTCTGGCCTTCTTATGCTTTCAAGTTAAGGTTTTTAAGCTGGGTCATCTCAGTTCATGTTGACTACGCGCAACCAGCTCATGTTGTCAGCACGTGGGTACTCTTATGAGCTGGAAGTTCAGTCCAAGGTCCTGAAGTATAGCTCAACTCAACAATAGTTTAATGAAGCCTAGTAAAGCCAGGTTACATCAGCACGACAGCATCACTACGGGTTTGTTCAGCAAGTATTCCAGTTGATTTGCAGACCCCATCATAGATCCAGATTTGAAGGTGCCTCATTGATAGTCTCATCTGGTCCCAATCTGCAGAAGCGGGTCGAAATGTTACGGAAGGGTACTAACAGCCGGCACTGATGAGCTGTGCAAGGATTGCCTCCATTCCAGATTAGGGTTGCGTGTGCTGGGTACTTACGAAAGAGCATGCCCCTTCGGGCAGAGCATTCCACTGGCCCTTTTCAGAACTAAGGATATAGATCCAGAAACCGTCTTCAGTCCTCAGGTGGGAACATGTGAGTCAGATGTGGATTCTTGCAGAAGGAACCAAACATTCAGTGGCTTGTCGTGTCGCTGCTTGCTTGTACGATTTCCTGCTTTGAATTATCGCAACAAGGCGCCACCATCTTTCTGACTGTCTGGATACACACCACCGGCGCTTGCTGATCTCTCTGCGTCGCTTCAAGGACCAGAGTTAGTTGTCTGCTACAGGGTCTTGGAAAAGCGGGTGTGATCCAACCCTGTGCCAAAAGAAGGAACCTATCCAAGTCAATGGGGCCGCAACTAAACGGTGGCAATGGTTAATGATAACCTCCGGTTTCCCCTGCAGTTATTACCGGGACCATGATTGTCTTCTTCATGGTCTTCCACACTAACCAGGCCTACAGCCGCTTCTTCGCGCAGTACGAATGCATCACCCGTGTGGACGTAAGTGCAGTTACCCGCTCAACTCTAGAAACTTTGACCGGACAACTCTGAAACCTCGAAACTCTATTTCCTCGACCTCTGAAACCTCGGAACTCTACTTCCTCGACCTTGTTCCTACTTCACTTTCCCACGTTTTCCCGTGATAGAAAGGCGGGCCTTAATCATCCAAAGAGCCGTTCACATTCCTCGGAGGTTAGAGCTATAGTAGACCGCGTTGATGCTGTGGAAGAAGACATCGAGAATTGGTACTCCCAGATGAAGGATTCCAGGTTACGTCAATCTGCATTTTCGGAACACCCTAAGTCGAGGCGGTCTTCCTCAGTGCCGTGAAAACGTGTCGCTGAATCCTGGATCTAAAATTAGTGTTCCGTCAGAATGCGCATGCGCGGGCTTTCCGTTCGGTGAAGACGCTAGTCCAACCCGAGAGGCATCCCGCCCATTGTCCTTCCTCCTCGTCATTCATGTTTCAACAGACTGCGGTTTACTCGCCTTGTGAACGTGACTTGTGAAAGTGAGCTCGCCCGTTTTGGCACTAGACGAAAACGTCAAATTGGTCATTCTCGAGTTCCATTTGATTTGTGACCAGTTGAATAAGCATCGGATTTCAATTTCATTCACTCTTTTTTCAAGCAACTCACTTCTGCTTCTTCCAGACTGAGCCGTACGACTCGAGCCGGTTTCTTAGAACGGGTTCGGTACGTATAATCAGAGTTGGAGGGTATTGTGCAAGGGCAGAATCAACTTGGAACCGCTCAACAAGCTGATTGGAATAAGCACATGCATCAGAAGAAACAAGACGCTGTTCCAGTTTGGGCTCCTGCAAAGATTGGAGCTAGCAAAATAACCGCGAAAGACCCGATTGATGTAGCCTTTCGAAATCGAGGTTTCAGAGCAAGATGACGACTCAAAGCCCATCTCGATTGCAGGGACGGTTCCTGAACCGGCTTGGGCCCCTCCTGCGGATGACGTTTGCTGACGGCAGCTGCCCCGGCGCCCGGGAGACCCGGCTGATGCTCGCCCGTTACATGGTCACGATTGAATGTGAGTGACGCCAGCAAACTTCGCGTAACAGATGACCTGACAGTTGTCCTGTCGAGAATGCAGAGGGTGCTGAAAACCGGGACATTGTTTTGAGAATCGTCTGCGGACCTGCCGATCACTCTCAACTCTCACAGAGAATGTTTTCGCTGGCATATATACATGTCAAAGTGACGTCACGCAGCCTATTGTCAGCTTACGTGGCCGCTTCTCGTGCGGTTCTGGCGTTTGCGAACCTGCCGTTCTACAAGACCAACGCTTTTCCCGCAGTTTTTGACACAGTGCGCTAGCCTTCCGTTTTGAAAGAAGGACGCTGTCCATACTGTCCTTGCATACGCAGGCCTGCCGCTCAAGATTAGATTACGAGAGCTGGTGTAAGCGCAACGCATTGCTGCAGTTCTGTCCAAGTGATAACCTGCCGTTTATAGTTAAAGCAAGCGCTTTTGGTACCTGCAGTCTTGAGTTACGCGAACGTGCCGTTCTATGATAAGACCGACAGCTTTAAGTTTCTGTGCAGTTCTGGCATACGCAAACCTGCCGTTGTATAAGACCAACGGTGCTGCCATACGCGCACCTGCCGTTATATAAGAGCAACGCTTTCTGTGCAGTTCTCTTATACGCAAACCTGCCGTCTATAGGACCAACGGGGCTGGCATACGCAAAGCCGCCGTTATATAAGAGCAACGCTTTCCGTGCAGTTTTGGCATACGCGAACCTGCCGTTCTATAAGACCAACGGGGCTGGCGCGTGGGCCTGGCAGCACGTCGAAGACACGGGGCTGCTGACGTCTGCTGAGGTCACCCGGCTGCGGAGAGTCCCCAGTGATTTTGATGCTCCAAGAGATCTCAATTAAGCAATCAAAGTGCGCGCTAGACAGCTTTTTTGGGCGACTGAATTAAAGGCCCGTGTGTCACCTTTGAGGTCGCCGTTTTCAGTGCACTGTGCTCCACGTAGCGACCGTGGTCGTGCTTAACCGCCTTCGGTAAGTGCAGGTATCGGCGAGCCGGATCCTTTTTGAGTGGCTCGAAATAGCTAAAAAGTCAATGGACTTTTGTTGTTTTGCGGTTTTGCCATTTGTTTGCTACCCCGCTATGACACATTATGACTTTAGGTGAGACCTCGGCAGAGTTGCATGCGTGCTAACGCGTTTCGTAACCTGGTCTAATTTTTCTGCGTTTACCAACTTACCCGCTTCGTAATCCAGTATTTTTATCTTCCACCCATTCCTAACCCCTTTCAAACCCGGCTCCCCGTTTCTTCGCTCGCCTTCAAACCTGTTTGAGTAATCCCGCTTGCCCGTCTGTTAACCCGTTTTTGGATCGATTTCCCAGACGGCAAGGCATTCAAGGAAGTAGCCATGTGGATCTACCAGCGCTTCTACGCGCACTTCCGGAACGGTGACATCAGCAACGTCGAGTTGGACCGGTTCGTGACGTTCACGAGCGACGTAAGCAACCGACCCCCAGAGGTGCCAGTTGACAGAATGTTTAGCATACTCAAACGGTTTGCATACATCTGGCGCCGGTCAAGACCGTCATATATGTCCACAAGCTGAAGTCCTCTTTCTCCAGAGCAGTGCCGAAGGTGACGACCTTGGAAGTCAATCTGACAGCAGCGCCCTTCTATCTGTATTTGCGAAACTGCATTTAAGAGACGACTGTCGCAGAGTGACGTCAGCGTGACTGCGGCACTGAACCGACGCCAAATCCGTGTCTGCAGGTCATTGCCAATATCGGGACCGTCAATGACTTTCTGGCGATGCCAGTCCCCTTCGCCTTTTTCCACCTCTTGAACGCGGTACTCGTGGGGTACCTTCTTCTGCTCGCGTACACGTACTGTCTGTACAGGTTCGAAATTCCGTTCCCATCTCCGTATCCGTTCCGGTTCCGTTTCGGTGTCCGCTTGTCAACTCCTGAACGCGGTTCTCGTCGGGTATCTTCTTCTGCTCGCGCACACTTACTGTATGTACAGGTACAAAAGTTCCGTTCCCATCTCCGTTCCGTTTCGGTTCCGTTTCCGCTTCGGTTTCCGCTTGTCACTGCTGGATGCGGTACCCGTGGGGTACCTTCTTCTGCTCGCATACACGTACTGTATGTACAGGTACGAAGGCTTTGTATTCGCTTCCATTTCCGTTCTGTTCCCGTTTCCTTTTCCGTTCCCATCTCCGTTTTCGTTCCGTCTCCGTTTCCGTTTCCGTTTCCGTTTCCTTTTCGAAGTCCGTTTGGCACCTCCTAAACGCGGTACTCGTGTGGTACCTTCTTCTGCTTGCGTATCGTTTCGACTTCTGTTTCCGTTTCCGGATTCGTTTCCATTTCCGTTTTGGTGCACGCTCCGAACCCGCATCCACACCCGCATTGACCCCCACCCGTCCTAGCACTGACGTCCCCTTATTGTTGAATGCATTGATGTTTCCAGACGTAAAAAATTGGCTGATTCTACTGCATACGCAATCATTCTTGCTTCCTCCTGCTTTCCTGCTACGAGGACAGGTCTTTTGCCCTCCCTCTGTCACGTTTGCCCATCTGCCGACGGGCCTTCAATCCTTGATGAATGAGCTCTTCCTTGAAATGTTACCTCATTGGTTTCTGCACGGGTGAGATATCTTTTTTTCCTGTCCCAGGCAGGTGGTATTACTTATATTCAGTCCCTTTTTCTCATATTCCATTTTTGTCTCTGGCAATAAGTATTGACTCATCTTTGATCGTTTGTCTCAAGCGATTACTTATCCATTGTCAAATCTCTTCTTTCGAGCTAGCATTACTCAAATTCAAACTCCTTTTCTACGCAGCTGTTTTGACTCATCTGTAAAACTCTTTCTCACGCAGCTATTATCATCCCTTTCAATCCCCTGTCTCACGCAGCTATTATTACTCCATCGTCGGCATGTTCGTGACCACGGTTTCGCTGCTGGGCCTGCGCGAGCTGTCGTGCGCGCTCGCGGACCCGTTCGGTTCGGACGCGACCGACCTGCCCGTCTTCGACTATGCGCTCTCGACGCAGCGCTACTTCAACGATTCGATTCTAAAAAGAGCCGAGGACCAGGGGCCCGACGATCCGCCGCACCCGCTCGCGCCACGTGGCAAGCAGGCGTGATCGGACGGCGGCGATCGACGTACCGGCCAGCTCTGAACGGTTTCAAAAGTCGCTCTGATTGTCCGTTTCGGCGCCGCTTACGCTCGCGCAGAGTAGGCGGGACGGCGGTAATTCTTGGCGACAAGAGGGCGAGCTCTTCTCTCTCAAAGTCGCCGGGTTTGTCGGGAGGGCGGTGTGCAGCCGGTGAAACACATGTGGTTGGGCTGCATAACCCGTGCTCACTAATTGCATTACAATAGCCAATTCACGAGCGAGCACGTCCTGATTAGCTGGGTGTGGCCGACATTCGGCGGTTGATTTCCAGTCAGATCCGCTGCTACTTAGCTGATTAGACAGCTAAGATGACAGCTAAGCTGATATCGTCAGTCAAATATGAAAATACAAGAACGCAGTCGAGGCAGGCGCTGATCTTGCAAAACAGTACCAAAATAGCTGACCTGTGTGTTAAAGCAGGCTTCAGATCAAACAATTAATGGAAGGACGAAGGGCGCGGCCAGATTGCCGGTTCTGCCCTGATCAATCGATGGCGCTGTTTACAATTTGCAGTGCCTGGCAGACTCAGGACCTCACTGCAGATCACATAATGCGCTAGGTTGATGACGATAAGTCTAATGTTAGTATCGGCTTGTGCCGAGGCGTTTAAAGCTACATCAGCGCGACGATGGTGTGGTCTCTCGGTGACGGTGAATAAGACCTTCTTTGGCAGCTCATGTGGACCCGCGCCACTGAGGCTTGCTGCCCGTACGGTAACCCCGGCCCGCCATGCATTACGCACCGTGCGGAGGCCGGCAACAGACGCGGACGGTGGCCTATAGCTTTCAAAGTCATAAGAAGCTGCCTGGCACGGTGGCTGCTACAGGCTAGCTGAGCACTTTTCAGAGCCGCCGATCGGACCGGGGTGGAACTCAGCGCGGCGGGCCAGCGATGTGCCATGTGACGCAATGTATGTGCAGTCCAATGGGGCCGGGCCCTGCCGCCCGCTTTCTGAGCTTTTCAAGCTTTTGACTTGGGATATCTAGCTAGCTATAGATCGATCTTTTAAAAGTCCTTCAGTAAATCATTGAATGGTCCGACATGCTTGCATATGCGTAATGCATAGCTACTGTACTCACCCGGGCGAAGCTCGCTGGCCTGCAAATCAACAATGATTGCATGCGCGTGCTTATCTACTTAGCAAACCCAAGAACAAATGCCAAGGCCTGCCGCGTGTAGCAGTGACTCCACCCTGCGTGGCTCTCAGTCGCGGCATTTGTTGATTCGGTTTGTCCGGTGAAAGCAATCTAGACCGGCGTGGAATAATTTACTGAACGAATTAAATTTTCAAGATCGAAACCAATGACGAAAAAAAGCGCTGTCTCCCACATGCGCACTGAGCGCAGGGAGAGAGCACATTAGTCCAGAAAAGTAGAGATGCATGCATAATCATGCAGGCAGTACAGCATCATGCCATGATGGCGCGCATTTGTGTTGACGCGCAAATCGCGAATCGGCTCAATCATGGACGGTGGTCTTGTCGGCATTCAGAAGCCGACGAGAGAAATTGCTGCGCAGCAACGGTCGAACAAAACATTGCATCACTTGACTCGCTACTGCACTTCGATCGCTGGCAACGGCTCGGCTTCTCCGGTTTCGGCTAAACTCTGCTGCTGTGCCCACATCTGGGCGTACCGACCGTCTAGCTGCAACAGCTGTTCGTGAGTGCCCCGCTCTATTACTCGCCCTTGCTCGAGGACGACAATCTGCGCAGCAAAAGGCACCATCAGGTTTGTGATCAGGCCCGGGTTTGTGCAGAATACATTTGTTCGCGGGTGAATTAAGACCCTTTTCACGTCGCGCAAGCATGAAAAAGCTGTTCGGATCAGCGCAAAAGACGGTCACGAGGACTCCCGGATCTTGAGGGTTCTGCGTTTAGTACCTCATTTACCAGCACAGATTTAGACGGGCCACGCAATGTGCAGCGTCTAGCCCAATGATTCTTAGTAGTAAATGTCAAGGAAAGAGGCAGTTGTGACGCGGCAAGCGGGGCCACGAAGAGCCCAGCGGTTTCCTAAACGAGTAACTGCTGCGCTGAGCATATGAACATAGCAGTCTGGGTGCCCCTGTCGAGTCTGACTTGCAAGCACACAATTGCGCCACTCCCGCCAAGTCCCAGGCGGTCTTTTTTGTGCCGGGACTTGAGAGTTTCTAATTGAATCCAGCCTTGCTCAGCTCCTTCAGTTCTGGCTTCTGTTGACGGGTGTCCGTCGCGAAAGAAAGGGAGCCTCGTTGGACCGGTGTCTCTGAACGAGCTTCTAACAACGATCCATCTACCTTTATTGTCGCTAACGGAATCTTACATATCGTGCACGCTGAGCTAGGGAAGAACGAGACCGAGGAGTTTGTGTCGAGCACCTGCCCAAAAGGACGAGTGGGCGAAGACCAAGAGCCAAAGAGGGAAAGTCGGACCAAGTATTATAAGTACGAAGTACTGCATGTTAGCAACATCAAAAGCGCACCTCGTCGCAGGTCATTGCAGTGGTTAGTCGGTGCGCGATGAAAACGGACGTCCGGTTTTGCGCAAGCTGACGGAGCGCCGACAGGATTTCGGCCTCCGTCGTGCTGTCGAGCGCGCTCGTTGCTTCGTCGCATAACCTGCCAGCCGAGGATGGGGCATAGGTCGTTCAGCAGGTATGATGACATCTTTTGTGGGCTGTTTCTTGAGATCAATTGGCACTTCTAGTGTTTGGTAAATGCTTCGATTTGTGGATGGCTTAAAACACGAAAGAAAGGTGGAGAGGATGGACACCTTCATCGAATCACCTGACAAACGAGGACGGCGCAAAGGTCGATTAGCACGTTCGCAAAATCGTATCAAGAAAGGGAGCTGTCTGCTTCCATGGGCTGTTTGCTTAGAATCAAAAGGTATCTATGGTTCTTGGTCAATGATGATGTTCTTGTGAATTCAGCGACTGGCTTACAATAGAGTTGAAATGATGGAAGCGGACTCTTTCGATTGGTGGCCGCTCAATCTAGATTTCAAGTTCTGCCAACGTTAGTCAGGGCAATAATCGCAAAGCCCTGTTCAAGGAGACAAAACAGCTCAATACAGGAAGGCAGGAAGCTAACGCAACAGACCATGAGGGAGTGCAAAGTTGTGCATATTGCCGATGTCAACCACACAGCAACAGGTTACGTTGAGGTGCTGAAGCACAATACGTAGGACTCTATGGGATCCTATATTTAGGATGTCACTTTTCGTCTTCCGGATGACGCAGGCGGTGCTCACAGTATTTTGGGAGACTTGAGGAAGGCCCTCGCTAGGGCTACCCGCTGCTTCTCCCCACCGCTCAACTGCAGGGAGATGATAACACTCGTTTGATTCGAGCTTATTAAGGCTCATTGAACCAAGCCTGTTGAGCAAAAAACTAGAACGTGTAGGCGTCATCATCGACCCGCTGTTTCTCCCCGTCGCTCAAGTGCAAGAGCAGGCACATGGCTTTTCAACCCAAGCTCGTCAAGTGCTCGTTAGCCAAGCTCGTTAGATGAACTCCTGAGGTCAGTACGTTTTAGATGGATTCCTGAGGTCAGTAAGTCATAGTAATCTGTCCGCTCTGCGGGACCTCGCATGAAGCTCATCAACTTGAGCTCGTCAAATGTTCGTTAACCCATGCTGGTTAAGTGAAGGTTTGAGGTTTTCTTTTGTCTATAATCAATCACGAACTGCTCTCTCCCCGCCGCTCATACCACAAGAAAAACACACAACACATTAACGCAGACTCTTTTTGAGCAAGGAGCGTCAGGTTTGGGGACAAGCTTTCTGTGAGTGCGACAGGGTGTTCGACGATCAACCATACAAATCGTTCTTGCAAAATAACGCTGTCACATTGATAAGCTGCGTAGAGAAGACGAGCGCTAGGCAGCTCTGGCAGGGCCATAATCATTGCGCTCGAGCCCCTTAAGAAAAGCCTGGTCTGCGAGTCACTTTCATTCAGCAGTGAGCAGATACTCACAGTACAGAAGCATAGAAAGGAGACAAGGAGAACCGGCAATTGACAGGTGTTTAAACTGAGAGTTTCAGATACCGCATGCAGGCCCTGAACAAAACCGGTTGTACGTAGTTTCGCAGATTCTCGAATGAGAAACAACACCGAGACAAGAAGGTGCTGCAATAAGAGATGTGAAGCACGCTTGAAAACATGGTGTGGAATTTCTTTCTTGAAGGGCAGTTTCAGCGCCCAGACACTCCTCAGTGGACAGACCTCCGACCCCGGTTGCTTCATATCCCTTCGTATCCCTTACAAACAAACTTGTTGCGGTATGCAAAGTGTTGCGTAACATCCACTCATCTCTTGATATTCGAACCTTCTTTCACTTGCCAAGCAGTCTGAGGAGTGCTGTAAGGGGAACAACTCGAACCACAAAGAAGCTTCTCAGCTTGGATTCAAAGTCCTGCTGCGAAGATGGAACGACGTTTGCAAACGAACCACCTTCAAGCCCCGCTCCCCCACTTTTGTTTGATACCCTGCCGGCATCGCCATGATTGCGTTGTGGATGGCAGCTTGGCGAGCAGCGTTGTACACATCCTCTGCACGGGAATCCGTTATGGATCAGATGATCATAGCAAACATAAAGGGAAAAATCATACAGAAAGTAAAGATTTTTAAGAAAAAGACAACGAAACTAAAACAAGAGTACACAAAGCGAAGCATGAGGCTTCATTTCTTCAAGAATGAAAACTGATTTCCCTGCACCCCCGGCCGAGACGGGTACAGGGTCCTCGGAAGTTCAAGCTTTTGCTAAAGTTTAAGAGAGCCCTATCGCTACTTCAGAATATCATAAGACAAGCAATCTTTAACAATCCTTTAGTGCAAAAGCTGTGAGTTCAAGCGCTTGGACCGCGTCGACCAAACGGTAGGGACGTAGAGACGGGTCCAAGGTGCATTTACAGTTCCCGTTGGAAGATGCAAGGATCCGAAGCCGTCTCAAGCGTAGCAAGGGGCCACTCCGGCTTGACGCACAATGAGTCAGATACATTCTCAACCACAAAAGAAGCCTCTGTGATGATGACAAACCACAGTGGATCCGCAACGAATTGCGGGGTCTACTGATCTACCAAGCTTAAGCGCCAAAGAATCTTTTGACACCAACCGTTGACAATACCCCAAAAACACAGGCGCGGCGTAACAGGCATAGCGAAATGTTTCGGTGTGCAAGGAGTGCATGGCCTCACCAACGGAAGCATTCGGGCGTCCGTACTGGATGTTGTAAAAGATCGTGTCATTGAACAGAACGGTGTCCTGCGGAACCACCCCAATGGATCTCCGCAAGCTGTCCAGCGTGACGTCCTTCACGTCCTGGCCGTCGATTCGAACCTGCGAGGAAAGATCAGGCCGTTGGTTCAATCCTCGAGACAAGCAGCATAGAGTTGCGCTGGATTGTGATTTGAGTGCTTTACAGTCGTCGATGCGGACCTGCAAGGAAAGATCCTGGCCATCGCTTCAGGTCTCGAGACGACTAGTATAGACCTACGGGGGTCATTTGTGTACCGGGTTTCATGCTACCGGCCATCGATCCGGATATGAGAGAACATTTTGCCGCCGTTTCTTCACCTCAAATGAGGACATACAGAAATCGAAGGCCCTGACAGACTTGCGCAGGCTTCGAAATGTACTCTACCTAACGTTGTGGCCGTCGCCTTGAATCACGGGGAGAAAGGTTGGAAAATATTTCGGCAACAGTCAAGTCGCAAGGGAAGCGTCTGGCCGACTATCAGCCTTGGAATGGACGTACAAGTCGGACAGTTTTAAGGTGAAAGAATGGGAGAAGTACAAGAACGTTTGCAAGGAGAATACGAAATCAAGACACTTGCAAACAACGCGAGTTCTCGATAGTCAATTTCCAATTCCCTGTCCCGCCTCAAACAGGCGGTCCAGCTGGCGCAAATCGGTCGACGTGCCGGTCTGGCCAGTTCCCAAGAGACTACTGAGATGGCACGGTAAACAAACTAAATCAAAACCCAAACCCACAGTAAAGCGGAAAGTTTTTGGACCAAAACCCTTACCCACAAAAGCAAGGACAGAAGCAAAAAAAGAGAATGGAAATACGACTCACGGCCCCCTGCTCCGCGTCGAAGAACCGGTACAGCAGCCGCAAGATGGTCGACTTGCCGCTCCCGCTAGTGCCCACGATCGCGAGGCTCTTGCCAGCTGGCACCTCGAAGGACACGTGGTCCAAGATGGGCCGCTCGGGAAGGTACCCGAATTTGACGTCGTTGAAGCTGATTGCGCTGCCGGAGAGGTTGAGGGGGGTTGCGTTTGGCCGCTCTTGAACCGAGGGCTCGATCTGGTTGGAAAAGACAGGGGCATAAGACTTTGCAAACTGATTGCCGAGTTTCACCTTGAAAGAGACGTGCTCTAGAGTCGTGCTTTAGGAGAGGACCAGAAATTGACGTCACTGAAGCTAATGGCGTCACCGGAGAGGTTGAGGGGCGTGACGGTCTGGCACTCCCGACCGAAGGCTCGATCTGGTTGGAGGAGGAATTTTGAAGGTGGGGTTCCAACGACGTCAGAAATGAGTACCCTCGCCAAGAGACCGTTTCTAGAGTTTGACAGCTTTGTTGGAGCGTTGGTCCGTCAACAAGCACAATCATGCTCCACCTTTTTTGATGTTCCACCTGAGATGGCAGTTTTGCCGTGACTGAATCGAGCCTTTGGTGCAGAAGAAACCAAAGGCACTACCTTGCAACCTGTCTAGTAGCGCCATCAGCTCTAATTACCTTTCCAGACGTCCGATGATAGATCGCATTTTTTTGCAGAAAAGCTCGCCGTATTGGATAATGAAAGGCGATGGCGGCGCCAGACGGAGTCACTTCCGAGGGTCAGTCCTTTCCCAAGCAACGGCTTGATTGATCTGGAAACGAAGATCCAATTTGGCACATCCTGGCGGAACCAGGCGTCCATTTGTAAACGGAATTTGCCTTACAAAGCCCTCAAAGAGACATGGCCCAGGATCGTCTTCTGAGGGTACCCAAAGTTGGCGTTGAAAAAGCCGATGGTGCCGCCAGGGATTGAGGCCAAGGCACTCGATCGCTCCGGACCGAAAGGTCCCTTTGGATATAGAAAAGGAGCCAACCTCCAAAAAGGTTGAGCTTCCGTTTTGCAAACTAACGGACCTGACTGATTTCAACAGACTCATCGAAGGACACGGTCGGACAGTTGCACAAAGATCTCGAACATTTCAGGGCGGTAAGGAACAAAAATTCCCATCGATGCAAGATTCAACGGTGGACTGCTGGTGTCTTTCAGTCTAAATCTTCAATTTCCAGCTTCTGTGATCCGAATCAGCGTGAGGACAGACCATGCTCTGTTGGGGGCGAAATTCGGTCTTCAACTACTGATCAAACGGCTGGAGGCAGGGTCAGTAAGGATTTAAGAGACAGCCTTTCGTTCCAAGGAGAACCTTTCGCTTCACGCCGAGAGCCTGGAGTAATTTGCAAGAGTATACCCTCGAATAAATGATATGAAGTATCTACTTACTTGCAATAACGAGAACATGGACTGCATGTCGATCAGGCTCTGCCGTGTCTCCCGGTAGACGCTCCCGAGGAAGTTGAGCGGCATGGACAGCTGGAACAGCAGTCCGTTCACCATAACCTGACACCAAAACGGAAACCAGCCAGTTAAGAGTCTGAACCTTCCGTTAAGTGTCAATCTTTGCCAGTTTCTCGTCTTGAGGTTTTGGGTTTTAAGCGCAAGGGCATGGTCAGCTGGAACAGCAGCCGGTCCACTGAGAGAAATGTCCAGCCCGTTTGCAGCCTGCTCCTTCCGTTTGTTGTCGAGGAGCTTTACCACTTTTCAGGATTTGGGAGTTTCAGGGTTCAAGGATCCAGAAACAGCGGCATGGACAGCTGGAAGAGCCGCCCGTTTGACCGGACACCACATTTGAGTTCAGCCCGTCAGCGGTCTGATTCCTCCCCTTGGATGTGAGGCTCTCTCTTGGAAAAACCAAGCGGAGTGATGATTTCTCAAGCGCCAACACCTGACTCAAGCACAAATTATTCAGAATCTTGCCAAATCCTCAATGGCCATAGTCCCTTTTCGCACGCGCCACGCAACAATAACCATGGCTCCCGACAGCGCTCCGCTGAGCGAGGCTCTTCAGAAACCCACCCAGTCGACATACAAAACCTCGAAAGTTAAAGCCTAGAAAAAATCGACTTTTTCTGCAAATGCAGATCTTACCAAATCTCCTATGGTCATGGTCCCGTTTTGCACGCCCTGCGCGCACATGATCATGGCTCCGGAAAGCGCTCCACTGAATATCAGGTTCTGCCCGAAGTTGAGCCCGGAAAGGCTGCTCTGCGTCTTGAGAGCGGCCGCCTCGTACTCTTCCAAGCACTTGTCGTAGCGCCTGGCTTCGTGCTGCTCGTTGTTGAAGTACTTGACAGTCTGCAGACGTGGAAAGGCGTCATTAATGATTACGAACCGATATATAGCTGTCGAAAAGTGAGGATTGTTGAGAGCAGTCATACGAACGCGCAAGAAATTTCGACTTGTGCTCTTCTAGGCAACTGCCATAGCGCCTGGCTTCGTGCTGTTCGTTATTGAAGTACTTGACAGTCTGCAGAAGCGGAAGCTCGCCCGTTTTTGAATTAGAACCAAATTGCAAACATTCAGAAGTCATCGCTCTGCTCGTTGTCGAAGTCCTGACGTCCGTAGAAACAGAGACGCGCGCTTTGTTCTGGATGCATAGTGATTTGTGTTTGATCGAATTCAACTGCCTTTGTCCTGCTCGTTGTTGAAGTACTTGACGGTCTCCAGAAGTCGAAAGGCGTCTTCGATAAATGCGGATTTACTTTAGTGCGGTCCGGAAGTACGCTTCTGAATTGCGAAGAGCAGTCATCCGACGCTGCATAGCAAGAATCAAACCTGCAACATCGTCGAGCTAGTCTGGTGGGTCTCTGTACCAACGCGTTGCACGAATTCTTCCATATTTTCTTGATCTACCAAGGATCTAACCCAATGGATATCGAAAAGTCGGGTAGTCCCAGACGCTTGCTAACGTCGCCACCTTCACGGGTTTCTGGTCAACATCCCGCAGTCAAAGGAAGCGAGAACCTTGACGCAAGCAAAATGGAGGCTCTTGCAAGGTGCCTTGTGGAGAGAGGAGCAACGAGAGAGACGAGAAAGGCAAGGCGGAAAAAGACGTGCGAAGACTGGAGGCGTGAATTACATTCAAGACGTACCTCGTAGTTGATGAGAGAGTCAATGGCGCGGGAGCTCGACAGGTTATCGGCCGCGTTCATTTGCTGCCGGAACTTCGTGCGCCACTGCAAAAGTAGACAGTTCCTTGTCACGCGATCCGCTAGGACCTCTTTCTCTCAGGTAGGCACATTCTCTCGATCTCTTCCCAAGTACTTTCGGGGGTAATCGTCTCCTGGCGGGGTGGATGAGAAGGTTTCGACCCAGCCCCGGTCTTCCAGAAGAGTTCATTCTTCAGAACCAGCACGCCGTGTCCAGCTGAGCGAGTTATGAGGCAACCAACGAGTAGTGACGCTCAATCTGGGCTGCTTATGAACTGTGTTTCCGTGACTGCCGTACATAACAAGAAAGGCCAGCGCCATCCAAACATTGTCCGATGACCTCTCTCGGACATTCTTCCAAAGTCTGGGATTTCCATGCGTCTTTCGATGTCTAGTATCATCTCAGGAACTTGTCGAACACTTTGCACATCGGATGACTCTTGGTCGCCTCGCCTGACTTAGCATACCTTGGACACAATCTAATTTTAAACGTGCGCTTTTCGGAAAGCTTTCCTACAGCCTTTCAGATATCATCGAGCCTGGCGAAAGTCTTCTGTAACGGCGTGCTAGCTGGTGCTTACGGCGACAGTCCTCCGAGCCACATAGGGTTCGGACGTCGCGTGCTGTTCGGACGCTTTACTTAAGACATGTCAAGAAGTCTGAAAGCGCGGACGCTCACCTGTGTTACGACGAGCGTGAAGATGGTGTATGCGACAACAGTCCCGCAGGTGACGTAAGCGAACGGCGCCCCGAACTTGTAAGCCAGAATGCCCGCCACCAGGCTAATCTGCAGAATTACACGATCGGGGATTTGAGCGTTTTGGAGTGAACCGATCTTGGATTCAAAGCCTCGGGTTCGCGTTTCTACGGCAATAAAGAACGGCCAGAGCAAAAAGATCAGCCTTTCCGATCAAAGCTCTGCCTACTACTGATCAAATCTTGCCTACCAGGTTGGTAAAACCGGCAGAAGTAAGCCTCGTCGTCTGCAGTCATAACTTGCACGTTAAGGCCAGCGCAGCGCAAGTAGTGAATTTTCTTTAAAAATGCAACTGGCCATGAAGTATAAGCCTTACATGGTGCGATGACTCTTTCCGTTTGTGACAACGAGCCGTCATTTTAGTGAGCCTCGAACCTAGCAAAGCGAGAATGCCTTTCCGCTGCCAACGAAGTAGGAAAAGTATCTTATTGTCATCGAGACCGTACGGCGGAACGAAAAGCGTGTCGAGCAATATGAATCGGACTCTCCCGTGAAATCCGGCGGACTGGAACCGTCCACTTCAACGTTTCCAAAGAGAGTACGTACCTCGAAAAATGTCGGCACAATATTGAACACCATGGAGCTAAGGATAAAGTTGATGGCGCGCGTGCCCCGGTCAATCGTGCGGCTGAGAGCGCCGGTCTGGCGGCTGAGGTGGTACGTCAGGTCTAGGTTGTGAAGGTGCAGGAAAACCTGCGGTTGTAAACTCTTCTTTGATCAATTCTCTAATGCATCGGCGCCCTGATCAGTGCCGTTTGCTTCATCAGTTCGCTGCTTCCTCATTCGCCTTTGCTTAAACCTGCGGGAACATGAGCTCTTCCAACGATCTATCTTCCAAACAATCATCTCTGAGTTGGCTTCTTGATCAGTCCACTTTGCTCCATCGGTTCGCCGCCTCCTCGTTCGTCTCTTGTTTGCATCGCTCCAATCTTGACGATGCTCCAACTTTAACGAGCGGCTGGGCCAATCGTCGGCTAGGGTCTAATGTAGCACAAGAAATTGCCCTGGTTTCACACGGCTTTTCAAAGAGGATTCATTGGCAAGAGGACAATTGCGGAGACAAACTGGGCAAATATCAAGAGGGGAGAGACTCACGAACAACGAACAGCCTTTCGTACCGGTGCAGCCTTGGATTGGGCCCGGGATACTGGATATATGTCAAGAAAGTTACAGACCCTAAACTTCTGAAACACTGAGCTTCAGTTATACCCATTCTCACCAACCGCATCATCCCCGTCGCCCCCTTTCCACAGACAGGGTTGTGAAGCTCCTTGGACATTGACAACTTGCGACGCTCCTCAGACGAGCCAAACACAAAGAACTTTGCAGTTTTGAAAACCTTGAAAGGGGTAAAAGGTCTCATCTGCTTCCCATTCCAGGGAGAATTCCTGCGACACCTCAAAGACGGCATCCCAAAGCTCATTCAGAAGTACCACGCCCTTATGGCGCCACAAAAGACAAAAGCTTGCCAGATGTAAAGAGATATGGCGCCAAGAAAAGATCGTAGCTTGCCAGAATACTGATGGAAACCATTTTTGGGGACGACCCGAATCTGTCCCCTTTGTCACCCTCGCAAACACGGCGTTCCAAAGCTCGTTTATTAATGACGACTTGGCACGCAAACCGCCCTAGCCGTGGGAAAAGCCAAGCGTTGAAGCTTCAACTTCCTACAATCTTCAACCACTCCGAGCCCCTCACCTTCTTGGCCACGACCCGGATCGTTCCCTGCGCCACTTTCGCAAACTCGGCGTTCCGAAGCTCGGCCGATAGTAACGACATGGCGCGCAGAACGCCGTAGCTCGCGAAAGAAGCCCAAAGTTCGAACCCCAACATGCCAAATCTTGCAAAACTACGTACTTCTCACCTTCTTTGCAACAACCCAAATCGTGCCCTGTGCCACTTTCGCAAACACGGCGTTCCGAGGCTCGTTTGATATCGACGACATGGCGCGCAGAACGCCGTAGCTTGCGAAAGAAGCCGGAAAGTCGGGACCTCAACAACCTGAACCTTGCAACACTCAGAACTTCTTACCTTTTTGGCTACGACCCGGATCGTGCCCTGTGCCACTTTTGCAAATACGGCGTTCCGAAGCTCGTTTGATAGTGACGACATGGCACGCAGGACGCCGTAGCTCGCAAGAAGGGCAACCGGAGATGCGAACGCAGCAAGGAGCCACGGGTTGTCGGAGACGGCGGGTTGGCCGGAAAGGGCGTCGACCGCGTACTTGTAGAGGAACGGGACTTGGACGCTGATAACCTGTAAATTACAAGTTGGACTTGGGCAATCGTTCTAACATCTGAATTAGATCAAATACTGGATCCAAAAGTATGTTTTAGAATTGGGTCTGGAGAAGGAAGCAAAAGCGCCACATGCGGAGCGGACGCATCGAGCGGCCACAGGTTGTCGGAGGTCGGAGACAGTGAGGTCGTCGGAGGCTCAATTGACAGATTACTTGTACAGGAACGGGACCCCTTGATTGTCCTAAGGGGACTGATAGGTCAGCGGAACATCTTTCGCGGTCTTTAGGTTCTGATCAATATGCTAAGCGGGAAAATTCAGTGATGAATGGCCACAAGAGACACAGAGGCGAGTTCGGCACTAGCCAGGGTGCGACGGCACACTTGCTGGGGCACAGGACCACAATCTCGTTTCTTTCATCTTTCTTTCTTACTTGCAGATTCAGTGAGCTTGAAGTCCATTAGTATGTATCACTCAAGGATACGGATTCTCTGAGCAGAGGGAAGAAGCAAGTGTGGTAGGATTGAGGTGTTCACAGACGGGACGAAGCAGCGTGAATCAAGTAAGCATGCCAAGAGGCGTTTTGGAAGGGACCGAAGATCGGCATTCCCAACTCACCTTCGAAGCCACCAGCAGACTAAGCGCAAATGCGACTCGCCGCTTAAAGTCGGGCCGGTCTTTCGGCCATAGATACACTGACAACGTTCCTAAGATCTGTAGATCTGCTACGGGTTTTTCCTCCTCAGAATCTACTTTCGCCGCTGCCGGGTCCTTCTCCTTTCCAAGGGGCTGCGATCCCACTCGTTCTTTGCCCCCCGCGGCAGGCCCCGCCCTCCCGGGGGCAGGTTTTCCAGCCTCGTTTTGCTCTCGGGAAGCCGTGCTAAAGATTCGCAAGCTGCTGGGTAGAGTGAGTGGCACGGAGGAAGCTCTAGAGGTGCTGAGAGAGGGTTGTGGTAGACAGGAGGCGGCGAGCAAACCGTGAGGGGGTGTGAGTGATGAGGTAGAAAGAGGAGTCCAGCTTCTCAGGCTCTGCGTTGAAAGGCTGCCTTTGGAACGCAAGTGGTCTTGAAGCTGAGTCTGGGGGAGAGGCAGCTGCGGGGATGGTGCAGGCAGACCGCTGGCGGAGGCACGGACCTGCAAGAATTTACGACAAACTTCTTTATCAAAATCAAACAGAAAAAGTGTAACCCAAAGACAATCCTTGGTGACCATAAAGTCGCTGTCTGCTGTGGACGATACCGCACAAGTCAAAGCAAAGAATTGTATCTCAAGGGGCCATTTTCTTTGCCTTTCCTTTCGTTCCTTTCCAACTGTACTCTTTGCAGAAGTTAAAGGACGTTTATGGTGCTACTGTGTAGGGTAACCTGAAAAAATTTCAACCTGAATATTGTTTAATCAGAACTTTGAGCGGTGATCTATTTTGTTCAATAGCGAAGATGATCTGGTAGTCAAAATAGTGGTGCAGTGATAAAAGATGATAGCGGTGGTGCTCCATCTGATTAACATGCTTCAATTGAAAGAGGAGCTCGATTGCTGATCGGTGATGCTTGTACTCGATCCTAAGCCCGAAGCCTCAAAATGTTGGTGATTATGGATCTGTAGTCTCTTATTTAGTGTCACCCACAAAGATGCTGGCAGATGAATCTATTTCAAGTGTTTTTTGACCTCGTCCTTGCACACGCAAGATCCGGCAAACTTCCACTGATTTTACTCTGCATAGCATTTTGGTATCAATCCATGCAGTCTGTTCATGTTGGGATGTGCGGATCATTGGCACCACTCACCCAGTGAGAAAGATGCTCAATCTGAGTGCTCAGAAGATCCCTGACACCCTCCCCCTTGGGAGCATTGGCCCCGCATGCATCAATAGCAGTGATCGCCTTCCCTTGCCTGGAAAGGCGCAAGATGAGCGCCGCAGCTCGATCCATACTGGTATGCAACGTGATTAACCACTACCTTCCAACTGCTGACATCCTGAAAAAAGTTCACTATCTCCCAGCTTCCTCCAACAACTCATCAAACTTCAAAGACTACGGTACTGTGGAGCCATGGAAAGGGACCTTTTCACAGGAATTTGACAAGGACACAGACCGCCGGCGCATGCATGCAGGTAAAACTTGAAGCATGGCCGGGCAAATGGCTCTTGCCTTATAGGGTTATATATTGAAAACCCGCTGGCGAGGCCACCGCGGTCCCATGATCTAGCGGTTATGATGTTGGACTCTGAATCCAAATGCCCGAGTTCAATTCTCGGTGGGACCTCATCAGTCCCCCAGGCACCCGATCATGCCGAGTAACATCGGCATAACCAACCGCGCCCATCCTTTTGTATAGGCGTCTGTCTGTTGCCCATGCTTGCAATGTTTTTCGTGGGCGCTCAGCTCGCCGTGCAAAAGTAGCATGCTCACTGCCAACGTCGTCGGCGTTTCTCAAGGCTTTCGCATGCAATCCCGTTTCCAGGCATATAGGTTGTGATCAACCATTGAATGCATGATAACGCAGAATTGAGGTGTCAATGTTTGCCCGGGTTATATAGACCGTCCTACTCAAACCGTCCTCTTTCAATCCTGTATTCCATTTATTTGCAGACGGTCATATCGGTCATGTTTGTCTCATGATGCATGTATGTTGATCCGCGAATGTAGCTGATATACATTTAATCAGACCTATATTTGACCGCCCGGCCGGGAATCGGGGAGTCACATGCACATAACAGCTACATTTCCGACTTAGCAGACAGTGACCCGCGACGTATGTTCAACGAATACGTGACGCTGTGGATCATTTGAAGGCATCATGCTAGCAGTTTCGCTACGAAGTGGTCGAGTCTTGTCAT